GGATATTCCACGTAGATACTAAGATATTTTTTTAAATAGTAATAATCTTTAATAATATTTTTTAATTAAAACCATGTGTTGTATAAAGAACAGGTAATGAATTGTCTTTAAAGTTTATTATATAAATGTCTGATAGATATTAAATTTTATGAGAAAAGGCAGATTGTACATAATTCTAGTAAAACTTATTCATACGGTATAGAAAGAAAAACGTATCGTGATTTTGCATAATTAGCACTCTGATTATGACAAATAACGATTTTAGTTACGCCATTGACTTCAACTTAAATCTAAGAATAGTACATAAATCTATTTCTTGTACTGTATGAGACTGCAATCTCAACAAAAAAAGTAGCAAATATTTGTAAGTAGGTATTATTTTACCCCTTTTTATGTACAGGGGTAAAAAGAAACGATAAAAAATTTCGCGTTAGCATGATACTAGACGGAGATACCTACTAGGGGGTCGTTCCCGTTCCACCCGTCGCGTCGCGCCGTCCTCGTAGCGAACACTGCTAAGTGCTAACATGAATGATGAGCGTTCCTTACGTTTGCAGCCCGCTAACACAGGTGTCGTCATGTAACACATTCTCTCGTAAACGGCGGTAGGCGGTAGGCGAAACTCTTTTGTGATGTCACATTACACATAACCTGTGGCGTCGCTATGCCAATTCAATCAAATCTATCACTTGGGGGCCCTGATTCTACCAGCCAAACCCCAGCCAGCCACAAACGAATCTTTTATTTCAAAACGCTTTATCATGGACGCTTAAAAAAACCGCAAAAAATATCCTAAATTTTTGCACATACGATTTAAACTACGAGTATACATATATTGTTTTTACGTGGACAACTATCAAGGAACAATACGTACAAAAGGTACAAGAATAATATCCAACCGTCATATCAGAAGCGTCACCGCTTCAGATTCTGCTGCGTGTTAAAACATTACGGTTGGAAATTATAGTACACGATCCAAAAATTGGGAGAGCTTATAATCGTTAAATTGAGCAAAACTAAAAAGTTGGAAAAAAAAATTACTACATACATGTTGCTTAATAATTTGTTTTTAAATAATAGCAAATTTAAATTAAAATTATTATTTTTTAATTAATCTTAACTTTTTCAAATTACACATAGATCAATTGTGGCTTAAATAATTAATACTATATTTTATATTTTTCTTATGGTTATAAATATAATAATGGCAACACTAAATATAGATTGCTAATTAATATTTTTAAAATTGTAATAATTATAAAAATAATAGCAAAAATTAAATAAATAATTTTCCATATTCAATTATAATTAAAATTATAAAAATATTTAAAGTTAAAATATTGTAATGTAATTGGTGCAATTTTCATTTTGTTAATTGTGGGTAGGCTGTCTGTAACAACTATATCTTTAAGACATGTAACACCTCAGTCTCTCCCGTGACCATGGATGCTGTAAAGCATTCGAAACGTCGGGAAACAAAAATACAAATAAATCCGCGACAAAATCCGAAAAGATAGTTTTATTTAAAATAAAATAATATATTACCTTTTTTTATAAGCCCCGTCTTAATGGGGCGTCGCATAATCGCTTACGCACTCAACCGGACGGCACGACGGCAGGTCTACCGAAGCAGATTACAACAACCATGGGGTTGCTCCAACGGTTTACTCTGTCGACATAGAAGTACGAGAAACCCGCATGGTATACCGCCCACCGAAGTGGGCCACCTCCCTGTTCTTGGCTTCGCGCGCTTGATTGTCGGACGCTAATGAGCCCCGCCCGCCACCACGATAAGGTGAACGCACGTCGAGGGCGATAATATGTTACCTATACCATCTATACTAAAGTATGAAGCCTCCCGGTAAAATATAGCTTTTGGACCTCACCAATAGTGAATCCGAGTTTGATTTTTTTGCGCCGGAGCTACCCCCACCACGACACAATAATCTAAAATTCCATGTAAAATATTTATAGTTTTTATGTAAAAAGAGCAACACTAGTTGATTTTTGCTGATTGACTAAAATATTATATTTTGTTTTTCTTTTTTATATAATATAATGTTCTATATTTTATCTTTGTAATAATATTTTATGTGTTGGAAACAAAATTATTTGGATATTCAACCATTAAGAGTTTTTGAATTATTATTGAAAATATTGCCAGTCTTTTTTTGGAGCAGATTATATAGAGAATTCGTCAGAAAATTAAAAAAATTAAAAAAAGGCACCAAAGTACCTACCTTACAATATTTTAACTTTTAACTTTAAACATTAGTAATACTAATTAATATTTTTAAAATTGTAATAATTATAATAATAACAGCTCAAATTAAATGAATAATATTCCATATTCAATTATAAAACTAATTAAAATTATATAAAAATGTTTAAAGTTAAAATATTGTAAGGTACTTTGGTGCCATTTTTCAATTTTTTGAATTCATTTTGTTAATTGTGGGTAGGCTGTCTGTAACAACTATATAATACCTTAGAGACATCTAACACCTCAGTCTCTCCCGTGACCATGATTGCTGTAAAGCATTCGAAACGTCGGGAAAAAAAAATCAAAATAAATTCGCGAAAAAATCCGAAAAGATTTATTTAAAGAGTTTTATTTAAAAAGTAGGTAATCTATTTAGATTTGAAATACTTTAACTATAGACCAAATTTTTAAACGAAATTTTGCATATTTAGCCTATTTTTACTGGTTATTGCATATAATATCTAAAATTAACCGATAATATACTATCAGTATATTTACAATATTGTACTCTAGTATAGTATTATATGATCTGTGGTACTAATAACAAAAAAAAATGTAAATAAAGAAATCATATCTTGTAGGCGATTAAATCTATTAGCCACCAAGGAAGTTTAAATTGCCCCGTTTCCTCAATCGATGTGTCCACTTTACTTATCTGCTTATAAAACATTTAAAGGAGAGACACTGTTTTATTAATGAATTTTCAGAAAAAGGTTATTCTTACGTTTACAAAAGCAACAGAATAATAAAAATGTTAATCGTAAGTAGTACATGTTAACTAAGCTAGTAAGTCTTCTGATATAAAAAGTGTGTGTGTGTGCAATTTACACACGGTAAAAATGAAAATTCAGAAAACTAACCTACGAGAGAATGAGATGAATATAGAGTATCGGGAGTAGGATATTTGTACGATTTGTTTTTTTTTTTGTATTTTTTAATAATATTTTTATAAAGTTTAAAAATTATTTTACATTTTATTTTTAACATGTAGATGTTCCTATTACATTACATGTTATTCAGTATTATTTTCATTATTTTTCACTTCCTGTGTTAAATGTATTCTAATCTCATTCTCTCGCCGGTTTATTCATATATTTATGTGTTTACGTCTTTGTCGTGATGCATTTTCGTTTCGTCGAATTTCAAATGAGAATGATTCTAAAGAGGTTTCACTTCAAAAACTTTTTATTATAATAAACTTTACGTTTATGTATACATTTTCATATTTATTATTAGGGCTATTACGGGTGACATATTATGCCGCTCTATAGTTCGAGGTAATTTTAAAACAGCAGTAACAATCTCCCAGATTTACGGAAATACGTAAACGTATCTACGGGGAGCGCATCCGCCGAGGCAGAACGCGCTTTAAGTAGTCTTTAACTTATCAAAAGAATATTTTTATTATTTTTATTAAAATTAATTTGGTTAAAACTTAAGTAAGTCATCTCCTATCAAAGAAACTACGCCTCATACTTCGTCTATTTTTATAATAATTCATCTGTGGCTAAACATTACAATGCGTATCGTTTTGATTAGGTTCCATAACCATCAAATGGAGGTACCTACATATTAGTCTACCTACAACCTATTGTTCATATTACGTGTTGTATTGACAGGAATCAAAGTTTGCAGTTTTCAAATGAAATATAGTTGTAAATATCTAAGTATGAACGTGCATGTACGAGTGTGAATATCGAGTATAAGTCAATATATTTAAAAGTATACCTAAGTCAAGTAAAAAAATCTTTTAATAAACTATACATACAGATAATTTTTTAATTATTTTTTTTAAATTGATGATAAAAAATATTTTTATCTAAAGAAAAGGTTTTTAATTTTCATCATTTTCTTTTTTCTGTTTACTTGAATTACGATGTTAAAGAAACTTTGAGAGGCCAAGCTTAAATAACTTTAATGTATCTATACCTACATAAAATAAATCTATAAAGGTCGAATATCTGTACATAGAAAAAAAAATGCAAAAAAACCAAGTCAGGGGGATGTAAGTAGAGAAATAGAACAAATAAAGATTTTTTTTTAATTTTTCGTTTGTCTGTCTGTCTGTTTGTACGGCCTAATCTCCGAAACTGTTGAACCGATTTAAATGAAATTTTTCATGGTGGTACCTTATATCCCCGGTCATCATTTTAGATACTTTTCAACCCGAAAAATTAAAGAATTCCCGTGGGATGGTTAAAAAACCATAGTAACTTATACAGCTTAGTACACAAAAACTACTAATTGGATTTTAATGAAACTTTACAATAATATAGTGAACTATATGTATGTATGAATACATCAAAATACTAAATAGACTACTTTTTATCCCGGAAAAATGTACGGTTCCCGTGGAATAGATTTGTTTTTGTTCGTCTAAAAGCGAACCCGAGCGAAGCGAGGGTTAGCCGCTAGTCTACTACGAGTATATAGACATTAGTAAAAGTAAAACCATTTCAGGATGAAACTAAACGCGTACGCAATGAGGCGGGCACTGAAGAGTGGGCGGCGTATTTTTTATATAGATAATAGATAAACTCAAAGAAGTATGTAATTATGGTCGTGTCTTCAAAGTTTCGTTCTTGAAAATAATTTAATTTCAAATAAAATTTTAAATGTTGTTTAGTTTTTTAACCCATTGTAAAAAATATCAATAAAATCCTAAAGTTGACAATCTTAATTAAAGAAGGACTATTATAAAAAGATTATTATTTTTATTAGTATTTTAGAAACTTACGATGTTGACTTTTGTCCTATTGCACATTGTAAAATAAATGAAATTACACTTATAAAACAAGTTTTCGACTTCATGGTGATATTTTACATAACACGACGATTACACCGCGCGCTAAAACGACGCGTCTGTTTCGCGCTAGCAATCAACCAAGACTGCCTAATGCTTATAAGGAAGTTAATTACATAGAAAGCCTATAAAATTGCGCAGGCGACGCGAGCGTTATATTTTTAGAGCTTTTACACATAGCCTGTATTCAGCCCTTTTTGACGTCCCACTGCTGCGCACGGACCTACCAACAAACCCATACTTCACTCCGGTGTTTTAGGGGTGCTTTTTTGTATTTATAATAATACTAGCGGCTCACCCTCGCTAATAGAGATCTATTAGTTCCCACGGGAACCGTTTATTTTTCCTGGATGAAAAGTAACCTATAATATAAGGTATCAGGATATTAAATTTTACTAAATTAGGTGCATAAGTTGTTGTGTACTAAGCTGTATAAGATACTATCGTTTTTTAACTATCCCACGGGAACTCTTTAGGTTTCTGGGATGAAAAGTACCTAAGATATTGACCGGGGATATAAGGTACCACCATGCAAAATTTCATTTAAATCGGTCCAATAGATTCGGAGATTAGCCCGTACAAACAGACACACAGACAGAGAAACAAAAAAATTGAAAAAAATCCGGATTTGTTCTATTTATCTTCTTATATCCCCCTGACTCGGTTTTTAGCATTTTTTTTGCTATGTACGGACATTGGACCTCTACTGTTTTATTATAGTATAGATACTATACAGTTAGCGTACTGTACTGTATGCAGAGCTTTTTAATATCCCACTGTTAGGCGCAGGCGTCCCTTCAATACGAGGGGTATCAGGCCATAGTCCACCACGCTGGGCAAGTGCGGGTTGGCGGACTTCAAATGTCTTTCGAAAACTTGTTAGGTTATCTCAGACATGCAGGTTTCCTCACGATGTTTTCCTTCACCGTAAGACAAGTGGTAATCACGTTGAAAATAATTCGCACATGATAATATCAGAGGTGCGAGACTCGGGATTTGAACCCGTTTCACTCAGTTACACAAGCGAGCGCCTTAACACTGGGCTACCGCCTACCATACACATATATAATTTAAACACATAGACTAACCATAGGATAATGGACTCGTTTTGTATGAACCATGAGCTATGATCAAGAGCGGGTAGATCCACGACTCCTGAAACTATCACTTGGCCGATTTTTTAATTTCAAGATCAGAACAAAATGTACAAACATTTTTTATTTGAAAACCGTTTTGGGCAGTAATAACAAGTAAATAAATCTTTAATCTATATAATACTAGCGACTCACCCTCACCTCGCTCAGGTTTGTCCCTTGGTACGTTTTAACGATTAGTAGGTATAGAATATATACTGTTATATACTATATATTATTTTCTCTTACTTAAACTTGACGTATTGTTGTAGATGGTAGGTCCACCACTATTGAAAGTAATCCGAAGTAGTGATTCCCATACAAAATAACCAGTTCTGAACTTTTCTATTTTCCAGCTGTTCTTAGGGGTTTTTATTAATTTTTTATATTTAAACCACCCCTGATATACCTCCAACAAAACAAGAAAAGAATTATTCAACTCGGTTCAGCCGTTTTTGAGTTTTAGCGAGAATAACGAACAGCAATTGATTTTTATATATAAAAAGATTAGTATAGACAGATAGATAGATCTTGCGGTGCGCAATGAAACTGGTACATGTACTGGTACGGACTACATGTAAGACCTAGAATTTGATTTTCGTTTGTCTGAACGGGGACGGAGCAACAGGCAATGATAGTCGATACATATACCTACCGGGCTACCTACATATGTATTGCAATGTAATGGCTTTTGTTTCAACTATTTTTTCTTTGTTCCTGTAAATACTGTTGTCTCAAAATCGAGAAACACTTCCCTTTACATTATTAAATAGACATTTATCGTAAAAAATAAAAATTACTTGTCCAAAAATTACCTAAGTATACAAATTTTTAATATTATAATATTATAAGAGCTAGATAATATTTTAGCAACTTGAATGTTTCACTGCTGTGCGTGCACGGACCTTCCCTTATTACGTGTGAGATGAAGTCATAGTCCACTACGATAAATGCGGGTCAACGGACTTCACAAACTTTTAAGAGTTCTTTCAGACGGTTTTCTCATATTTTCCTCCATCGTATTACTTTGCTAGTGATAATCAGGCTCTAAAAGGAACCTTATCCAAATAAATGGTTTTCCATCGATCACGTCAGCCTTTTAAATGTTCACGATAAAAAAATTAAATTAAAAATTTTAAGTACCTAACCCCGACACAAAAAAAATCCTGTAAAAAGTAAAAAAATAAAATTTCACTTTAAACTTCATTAAAAGTACCCATAATGTTTTGACTTATACTTTATCATTATCAATCTTCTTTTATTTGTAAGTATATTCAGGTTTTAATTTTATTTACTTAGCGGCCGGACGACCCGCACCGGGACGGGATGTGAACAAATAGGTACTTACATGATACATCCTTTAACGTATTTATTTTATCGAAATTATTTTTGATGTTTTTACACTGAAATCTCTGTTTAAAAATATATATGTATGAAAATAAATTGTTATTATATTTGTCAAAGTTTATATCCATACTAATGTTATACATGTGAAAGTGTGTTTGTTTGGCCTTCTTTCACGTCGAAACGGAGTGACGGATTGGCGTGATTTTTTGTGTGGAGCTAGTTGGAGGGCTGGAGAGTGACATTGGCAACTTTTACTGCAGAATATTATCTAATTCCCACGGAAAAACACGTTGTAATACAATCCAAAAAAAATATTATAATCAGAATTACTTGAACTGACCTATCCAGATATACCCAAACTTTTCCAAACCATTTTCCTCAAGGTCTTTATATTTTATCTTTACACAAGTACTATTTTGATTGCCTTATTGATGCCTGCCATATTAGTGGCTAGCATGCATGGCAGCAGATTATAAAACCTTGGGTTCGAGTCCGGGTTCGGACCAAAATAATTACCGAGTTTTTCTGTCACGAAATACTGGAGTTAGGAAATCGGCAATGTTTGCTCTGCGTATAGCAAAGCAAGTTAAGCTGTCGGTCTTACCCGTCGTATCCGAATTGGTCAGGAGGACATTACTTGCAACTCACAGATGAGTCATCAAACTAATATTGGTAAAAAACATTGCCTATTTATATTGTTAATGTGTGATCAAACTTACGGGTGTATTAAAAAAATAAAAGCATACTTAATATATTTTAAAATCTTTTAATATCATTCACTGTCTTTAACAGCATGTGGTTGCATACAGTTGACTGTGTAGGAAATAAAGTTAAGCTCTTGTAATAAATTAGTTAATCTTTCAAAATGCCTTTCAGTATATGGTAATGCACCTTCAATAAAACTTGTTAATGATGGAACTCTAAGATTTCCAGAAAGAATTTCAGGTGTTAAAATATAAAATACAACTTGAGCAGCATGACAATTCTTGTTATTTGTATTCCATTCAGTGGCAAATTTTAGTAAAGTTTCTTTCTGTGTATTATTTATTTCTTTTAATGTCTCCGATAACTTTTCTTGGCCAAACCTTAAAACCTCATTAACAATTTTTAGTACATGCAATGGCCTATTCATTCGTATAGCTAATTTAAGTGCCTTAACCATTTTTTTATCATGTAACAAATTGATTAACTCTTGTTCTTGTAAAATCAATTCTTCTCTCTCTTTTGCTAACTTTTCACGTTTTTCGACTGAAACATCCTTTAAAGTTACTACTTTAGAATCCGACCCTCCAGTAATTATAATAGACTCAATTTTGTTAACAGCCATAGACCAGACTTTGCCATCATGATTATCAAGAGACATTTTACATTCTGAACTTTTTATATTCCAAAGCTTGAGAAGACCATCTGCTCCACTTGATATTATCTGTTGTCCTTTACTTAAAAATCCTATCTTGAGAACAGAGCTTTCGTGACCTTCAAATGTCTTCAAGCAACTCAAATCTGCTATAGACCATAATTTTATTGTGCAATCAGCTGAAGATGTAAGGACTACTTGATCCACAGGTGAAAAAGTTACACACCATATGCCACGTCTATGTCCTTTTAAAATTCCTAGTAATGATAAATCTTCAGTCCATAGTTTACAGGTTTTATCTTGGGATCCAGTTGCTAGGATTTTATCATTAGGAGATATTGCAACACAATTAATGTCCATATTATGAGCTAATTCGGTATGGCTTGATTTAATTTTTTGATCATGACAATCTGTTTCTTTAGGAACTGTCCACACCTTTAAGCAATTATCTTGGCTTACAGATGCAAAAAAGTTGTCAGATGTTTGTGAAGTAAAAACTGATCCAACTGAAGCAGTATGCCTAGCACCAACTCCAAAACATTTTATATTTTGTTTTGAATCTTGGATCCAAATCCTGACTGTGTTATCTTTACCTGAAGATACAAAGACATCTGGTCTGGTTGGGAAGTTGGCCAAAGCCAAAACAATATCAGTATGGCCTTTTACTAATTTACAATCCATGCTACCAAGTTCATAATATTTTAAGTCTCTACTGTTTGTAGCCACAACAATATGTGATTCATCTTTACCAACAAATATAATATCAAGTATTTCATCTGTAAAACCTATCATTTGTTTCATACAAGTAAAGGTTTCTAAGTCATAAATAATTATATTATGGTCAACTGTAACAACCGATATCATATTCCTAGCTTTATTGAATAGTAAATTAGTGATTGCTAAACCACCTTCTTCTATTGCTGGAGAAACTAGGCTGTCAGCTTGTTCATACATGAGTCGGCTCATTTGTATATTCCATACTTTTATGATACCTTTTTCACCAGCACAAGCAACATATATCCCTTCAGTTTCAAGCTTTTTTTTAAAGTTTGGTATCTTGAAAGATGGTGGCATTAAAATTGTAGCTTCTATACTTTCATACACTGGTACAACTCTAAGAGCCTTACTTTCACCAAGTTTCCAAAGAATCAAAACTCTATCCCTTCCAGAACTAATCATATGTTCATTATCTGGAGTAAATTGTAATGAAGTTACTTTGCTAAAATGACCTGAATATATTAAACTATCTTTGCCTGTTTTAGAATCCCAGGATCTAATTTTAGTGTCATCTGCAGCCCCAAATATAAGCTGCTTAGTAGAATCAGGATGATATTTAAGAACAGTGAAAACGCCTAGAGCTCCCTTTAAACTACTAGTACATGTGTAATGTGTGAGATCCCAAAGTCTTATATTTCCATCAGTACCACCTGATGCAATATTAATATCTTCAGCATCAAAGGCTAACTTAGCAACAGCACCTTTATGTCCAGACCTCCAAACTTTTTGTTGTTTTCCAGATTCCCTGTCCCATAGTTTTATAAGACCACTTTTGTGAGCAGTTACCAAAGTTTGATTATCATGTGACATTTGGAAAGTATATATTTGATCACCATCATCTTTTTCTTCTGCTGCCTCACCAATTGTTAATGTATTGCAAAATGTGTTGACATCAATAACTTTGATAACATCATCACATTGACAAAGAAATTGACCTCCATCAGTGGTCCATTGAATATCACCACCTGTATAAAAAGCTTCAAACTCCGCTTGTTTTTCATATCTGTGAAAATATAAGAAAATATTGTTTTTAAAGGCATTAATCGTAGAGATATTTTTTGTAAATGACAATTCATTGCAGAGTAAAAATTGACAACGGGAAAAAATACTTACATTTCTTTTAATGGAGTAGTCATATTAGTTGCGAAAGACCGTCAAATATAAAGAAAAAAACAACACGCTTATTTTATTATTTCTTTACAAAATCCAAGATTTTTATGCACGTGGGGTAACCAAAACAACTCTCCGCCAGTAATTTATTGTCATTTGTCAAATTCATATGAATTAATTGACAAGTCCTGCGTTCGTTCAGTAATTATCAATATAGATAATAATTTCTTTCTACGAGCAACTGACCAAAAGAATTGAATTGGATAGTATTTTCTGATATTTATGTAAATTATATTATATGACGTTATAATAAAAATACATAAAATAATAACAGTCTTACATATCGATTTACGGGCTTTTTAACTGGACGCTTACATTTATCTTGGGTAACATTAAACGGTGTTGTATTTCAAATGTATGAATTTATAATTTATCCTCTCATAAATATCTACATTATTTGAATTATATTCATTGAAGTAATAACTTTAAATAGATATATATTTTTTTACATGCTAAGCCGTCTATTTACTTTTGAGTATGGTTTTTAATAATATTGATATTAAAATAGATATACAACTTTACGTAATATTACAACAATGTATAATTATAATATCTAGCATTCTTTACTAAACGACTGTATGAAAATATGACATTAGTCATTGTCACTCATCACAGTAAGTGTCATTGTCACAGAAAGAAGCCTTGCAAAAATTCATTTGTTCTAAAAAAACTAAATTGTCTTTACGTAAGATTTATACTATGTTTACTTCAAGAATCAGTAATATACTTAGAAATTTTTCATCTTTGGTTAAAAACCAACCAGATAAGTATCAATTTGAGCCGGTGTTCTCTTTTCCTTTTGTAAAATATATTGCTATGGTAAATAGGCTAAAAATCTATCATTTATATGGATCGTGTGTTATAATACCAAGTTGTGGTTTGTTGGAGATATTTCAAGCTCTACCTACACACAGTTTCCTTGTTGCTTCTTATATTGGTAAGACTTAATTTTATATATTATTATTAAAAATGTCATAATTCTTAAGGATAAAATGATGTGGATCTTTATCATATTGTTTTATTATATATAACACTTAGTTTTTCTCTGAACATAAAGTAATCACTGATCAATAGTGATAATAATTGTCAATGTTTGACTAGATTAATTATTATGTATTATTTGTTACAGGCTTTACCGGTGCAGCAGTATTGTCATTATTCACCCTTCCATTAAAAAATGTAATTGGCCATTTATATATAAGTGAAGATAATAAACTAATTAAAATCTCTGCAGTTGGATTCTCTGGAAAGAGAATAGATAAAATAATCACAGCTAATGAATGGACACCAATTTTAGATTTGAAACCAAAAATGACAGATGTGTTCTATCTTAGGCCACAATTGACTGATGGAACCAAATATAAGTTATTTATTAATTTTGGTATTGTAAAAAATGCAGCAAAAATGGGTCAAGTGTTAGAATAGAAAGCAGATAATATTAACTAAAATGTATTTAGTTGTATATAATATTTATATAGGAAATCATGAAAATAAAGAATCAAAGAAACCACATTATCATTTTATCATTTCATTCTATTTTATAATTACAGTAAAGTGAGCCAAATTACATAATAATTGCAATGCACTCGATCACATGTGTGTTTTATTAGTGAACAAATTTATAAGTGTATTGCTGCCATATAAAAATGGTTGCTATGTATTTAATTACTTATTCTTAATTATTATCTGTCTGTATATACAAATTTATTACAAAATTACACCTATACATATGATCTTGATTATTACCTACAAGCAATTCACAAACACAAACTAGAAACAATTATTGATTATAAAATTATACTAGGTCCCCTTCATTAGCAATATACTACCAACACTTCCTATAAATGTATTCACAAAATGGCTACAATTTTTAAAAACATGACCTTTTATATTGCATTCAACATTATATGTTTGCAACGTGCAAACTCTAACGATGCTGTATCAATCTTTGGAATCAATCACAATTTACAATCTATTTATTAATTAATATCTTTAATATCTATAGTAAAATTTCAAATTTTCTATTTTGATATTATTACATTATAATTTTATTATTGTACAGGGAAATGGGAACCCAGAATTTTATATATATATGTATAAGATCATATAAGTATTTTGAAAATTTAAAAATATTTAATGTTTCATATTAGTGCAATGAAGATTGCAGATATATATAATAGAAGAATTTCCCTAGTTTCCTAACATTAATTTATTATTAAACTAATATTCAAATGGTTTAAAAAATACAATAATTTGAACTTTTGCTGCTATCATAATGGTAAAACACCATTAATTAGATTAGGCAAGCTTATTGAAATAACTTTTAGAAATTAATACAATGAATAATAAATATGATGATGAAAGGTGCATAATACCAGTGTTGTCAAGAAATGCAAGTGATTTACTCTATTTGATTTAGACACAATATTTTAATCTATCCAAGCCTGTGCCGGTTGGTCTGTGGTGAACGGGCTCACACCGTTGCGTTCCATGGCATCTAATATCTCGCACACGTATGCTGCAACATCTACTCGACTTTGGTCTATGCCCTTAATGAATGCATGTTCCAAGAGCCGATTGTATTTTGGTCTTTGTGTTTCTTCCTTGATGAGGCTAGAATAAGGATTTAGTCTTGTATATTGTCAGTTGTGTTAGAAATGCTGAGTTTGATATGACAAGATTATTTCAAAATACATCATAGTTTTGAATATTTTATTGATTTTTTAATTTTTCAATAGTATGTCAAATAAAAAACAGAAAAGTACAAAATAGTTTATAGTTTATCTATATATATAATAAAATTGTAACTAAGCCGAATCTGAAAACTACATTAAATATTTTTTGGAAAATCTTATTAAAATAAACATTATTATAGATACAGAGTCAGAATCTATAGTTTTTAGATTTTGTCTGTTTGTTTGTCTGTTACCGCATCACAGAAAAACACTGGAGGGATTTTGATGAAATTTGGTATGGTGAGAGCGGGTTATTCGGGTCAACATATACTTTTTACCGCAGGAAAATATTTCATTTCAGAGAAAAAATACAAAAACTGCATTATATGAGTACACTAATATGTAAAACCTAAGAATTAGCTTTTTGGTCATCTGAACGCGTAGATTTTATCGTATCGTAGATTTTATGTCTTCATAATATCTGACTTACATTTTCGCTAAAAGTATTGCCACATGGCATAAGCTATATTTAAAGGTGACTGATTCAAAGTTCAAAGGCGAAGAACAAAAAAGAAATAGACAAGTGCGAATCTGACTTGCACATGGAGGGTTATTTATTGGCTTACCTATCTAAGATATTCATTTTATAGACGGCATAAATTATAATTTTTAATTTCATAATTTTGCTATAGGACAGAAAGATAAGTTTTCGGTCAAACACGTGAACGTATCTTAAATGGTGTTAGATATTATTGTAATATACATAAGGAAATATCTTCACAAAAATATGTAAAAGTATGTAAAACTTACCAAGTATTAACAAAGTTAACAAAATTGTTTGAAAATATATTGTTTTTGTTTGTAAGGCGGGGCGGGTCTCCTTGCACTACTTGTTGTAGTTGTTCAAACACAGAACCCCATCTTGGGTATGGGAATGAACCAGTGGCCACTTCCATCAAAGTAATGCCCAGGGACCAAACATCTGACCTCACGTCATATCCTCTGGCACGCCCAGGATCAATTCGCTCAGGCTAAAAATAATTACAATTGATTAACATTACTACATGGCATAATTATAAATTCTTAAATAATATTGCTCTGCAAGTCAACAAATAAAAGATGGTATGAAAATAGCAACTTTGTATTTTTATCACAAACTAAACAATTGCCAGTTTTTCTTAAATAGCTATATTAAAGAAAAACTGGTGGTTGTATAGTTTTTTTCTTCAGTTTATAAGAAAATGAACTTTAAATCAAAACCATCAATTTATTACATTACACAATTTATATGGTTTTCTACCATAATATAAATTGTGTAATGTAATAAAAGTATAAGTAGCTTGTCGCTAAATTTTACTGTGTAAATAAAACAAGAAACAAAATGTTAAAAAATAATATGTTTTTTATAAAATAGGTAGCATTTAAATAAATGCTTTGTTTTTACAATATTTTACTTTTCTCTAATACCTCTTTTCTATTTATTTTCATGAATCTACATAAATATTTATATAATAGTTGAGTTCGTGCAAACAATTAGAGAAGCTAAATAAAGCATAGACATATTGTAAAATTAGTATTTTACATATGTAACTTTTTATGTATGTTTATTCATAGTCATACTAAGTTTTCATGACTTGGACTTTATGCACGTTTCTGCTCTTTTCACTTATTTTTTAAAGTTCTACTTCTTTTGGCACGTTTGGAAAAATTATGACAGTAAAATTTTTACGATGCGCGCGCACACCGACAGCCAAAAAGCGACATGATGAAGTTAGCTGTATTTCTTTTACAAACAGAGAGTTGTAAGATACGGGATGAAATCTTTAGCTAATTTTGTTCTGTTTCGCCAAAAAAGTATAACTTCTCACGTGCGTACATAAGTATACATACACGTTTTTTCTTTTGTATCCTTTTCTATCGGTTGCCTGTCAGAGATCGCTTTTAGTGATAAGACCGACTTTGCCATTTTCGTGTGTACAATAAACAAACAATAAAGTATTATAGATAAAATATAGATACTTACAGCCATGTAAGGTCTACAGCCAGCGTCGCGTGTGCGAGCTATCGAGTCAACGAGCTTGCCGGAGATGCCGAAGTCGCACAGTTTTATGTTACCTCTTCTGTCCAATAATATGTTGGAAGGTTTCACATCTCTGTCGATATAAAATACTTTGTAAAAAATGGCAACATTAATGGAAGTTATATTTATATGTATATTGCCTATTTCGTCATAATATTGTCTTTGCAACAAAACGAGGATTGACTTTATTTTTGATACTTGTATGGTGAAGAAAATGCTTCGAGTACCTAGTAATTTACTCGATACATTTACTTTCACATTTATAGCATATTTATTCAATTTTCAATTAATCCTATTGGTTAACACGGAGTACGCCTTTAAAGCTCCCAGTCGACATGATTTTTTCCGACATCTTCAACAACATTACTGAAACCGTATGAAAATCTGTTTGGTAGTTTTTGAATTTAACACATTCAAATAGTTCTGTCCTATAACACAGACATACACGGGGGAGGGACTTTGTTTTATAATATGTAAAGATTTCGTATCAAGCAGTACGGCTGTAAAGCCTATGATGCAGGGTACTGGGTTCCAGTTCCGGGTTGGGCTAAGTATAGAGCACCAGTCATGTTGAAATGGCCTCGCATGAAACTTTGGAGAATAAAATGAATAGAGAGAGCACACATGTTGGCTCACACCAAATAAGAGCACTTTGAATGACCCGCATTTGATCCCGAGCAAATAACTAGTCTCAGTGAGATTTTGCTGCTGTGGACGAAAACGGTAAGGAGGACATTTTGTTACATATGTCCGCTTGAAAATATTTAGTATAGACAAAAGGAATAAAAACCATTCAGCTAATTAGAAAATTATTAGCAGATAGTGATGCACCTCGAGACAGTCATTTGATTATGTTGATACAGCACTTACCTGTGAATAATTTTTAGTTTTTCTTTTAAATAGTTTAAAGCTTTGACAGTTGCTAATGTAATTTTAGCCATAATGTTTTCAGGTATCCGAGTTTGCATTCTTTCACAAATAAACTTATAAAATTTATCTAATGAGGTATCCATTAACTCCATACAAATCCAACAGTCACCCTGTAAAAAGTTTTATTTTATTTGTATACTTTTTGCACATTTCATTTATGGTATTAAGTTACTATTAGAAGATCTCACACTAAAGAAGTATCATGTACAAATGAAAATTTAAATGATGGATAATATACATTATACATGGAAAGTTTTTTGATTATTCATATATAGAAATATTTAAAGATCAACATTGTACATTTTTAAGGTGTATCAGATTTTATACCATAAATGAGTTGTAGAAGACAGCAATTAAGTTTTATTAATGGTAGTAAACAATATCAAAGTGCAGAGGAACAGATATATAAACTATAAACTGCTTAAAATCTTTAAGTTTTCAGTTTTTACTAATTTAATGATTTGGTATGCTGCATGATAGTATAAATTTAAGTACTATTATAAACAATATTTACTTCTTTGAAAAGTGCTCCATAAAACTGTACAATATATGGACACTCATTACTTTTCATTACCACCTCTAGGTCCATTAATAATTGTTTCTGTTCTTTTTCATCTACTGTTGAACGGATACGTTTTACAGCCATCACTTTGCTGCTCCTGTAAATAAGCATTTTAATACTAAATATATTGATTAATAAATCCATTGTAAATTAGGTAATTAATATCTTTCATGAAATCTCAATATATCAATCTTTCCAAGAAATATTTTTTTATCACTGGGAGGTTATATGGCAGTGAGTCACATAGTAGGCATCTATACAAAGGTCTAACCATTTGTTGACCTTTTACTTAATTGTTAATTATCAAAGGTCACTCTTAAATGTAAAAATAAAAAACCAATCTGTTTAACATACTCCGTTAAGCTAATTTGAAAATAAAACTTGTTAACAATATCAATACCACGCCAATGTAATACGAATATAACACTTGTTGAAAATGCAGTTCATTATGTGCAGAAAACTACATTCAGTGGCTAGTAATAGATAAAATAACATAGATGATAAGTTTTTCAGAAACCCATTTTACAACAATTTTTATACAGGTGGCGACGATTGACCAACGTTACTTTTAAATTTTAACCACATAGTATACACAGACATATCTATACTAATATTACAAAGAGGTAAAGTTTGTGAATTGTAAGTTTGTGACGTTGTAGGGGGTAATCTCTAGATCTACTGAACCGATTTAGATGAAATTTGGTAAGAAGATAGTTTGAGATCCGGGGAAGGACATAGGATACTTTTTGTTCCGGAAATCATTCCTTAAGGGGGTGAAAATGGGAATGAAGTTTGTATAGGGAATGAACCTAGGGACGAACCCGAGCGAAGCGAGGGGAGTCACTAGTAGTATATAAAATTACGAGACGAATACAAAAAAAATGAAATAATAAAAATATTGAATATTAAAGCCACAAGAATTTTTAATCGTTTTTAAATTTTAAACCATCATGTGATACGCGCAAGCGAAATACGCAAAAGTCACGCACTCCTAGGCGGCGAAATAGTATACGACGTTGACGATAATGCGAATAGATTTTACGAAAGAAAAAGAAAGAAATATGGTACTATGCGATGTGATGTCGGTAGCTGTAATTACATTAACAATAACATAAAACCATGCCAACACAAATTCACAAAGATACGCTTTATTCAGTGTTCATCGATGAATTTACATTAACAATAACAAGACAAAATATGGTAATTGGCCAGGGATTCGAACCTGCGAGCTTTCATGGAAATACTTTGTTGGCCAAAATGATAAGCACATAAGTGCAGTAAATTTCCTTTACACTCATGCTTCACGGGCAAGATTCAACGTACAACGGACCAAATGCGAGTCTAAGTACGGAACACGAGACCAATATACAATACATGGGCAAGATTTTGCACAACTTTGAACTTTTCCATTTTTCGGAAAATCATTAATGAAAATCAGCCAATTTATTTACAAATAATCGAAAAAAAGACCATTTCCTATTTAGTGTATCTGTATGGACGAAAAAAAATAAAACATAGTTATTCTTTTTAACGACTGTTTTATAAAAAAATATTAAACACACTTTCAAGTAGCGTAAAATTATGTTTTGAATCCCATCCTTTTACACATACAATTTTTAATAAAGTATTACTTACAATTGAAAATTCTTAAATTAAATGATACAATATCGAATAATAATATCATAGAAAATTAAAATCAATCACATTTGTTAATAAACAAACTACAGGCGTATTTATTTTCATAAATTCTTAAAAACAAAAAGTTAATAACAATTATTGTAACATTATAGTCTAACGTCACCAACGGATTTTTTAATAACAAGCTAAAATTTCGGAAATAGCTTCATTTTGGCGAGACGACTCAACTCTTCTTTCTACGAGAATTTGATAGTGGTAGATACAATTGTGGCTTCATATGGAACATGTCAAAACGATAATTGTCTAAAACTCATTAATAACAGGTTGTTTTACGATTTAATCTTGAGATAATCTAACATTGAACAAGAAAAAAGTTGTCCTACAAAACAGATGGTTTAGATCCAACAGTCTCCCTCTCCGAGCTTTTTAAAATAACAACGTCATAAAATTTATTAATAACCGGCTGATTTTAATAATATTTATTAGTAAAAATATGAATAATTGAATAATCAAATCGTCCTAGAAATAAAATAGTAGGATTTCTCAGTTCTACGCTCCGATTTTGGACCTGATGCTTTTTCATTAATAACAAAGCTATTTTTTCTTTTTTTTTTCTTTGTTGATAATACAATTGTACTACAAATAAAGTGACATATATTTGTGGAAGATGAAATTAATATAATATGAATGAAAGTGTTTCACAAACACGTAGTGACATCTATTGGTAATTTTCTACATATCACATAATAACAACATAATATTATCATTTTAAATAAAACTATCTTTTCGGATTTTGTCGCGGATTTATTTGGATTTTTGTTTCCCGACGTTTCGAATGCTTTACAGCATCCATGGTCACGGGAGAGACTGAGGTGTTACATGTCTTGAATGTATAGTTGTTACAGACAGCCTACCCACAATTAACAAAATGAAAATTGCACCAATTACATTACAATATTTTTTAACTTTAAACATTTTTATAATTTTAATTATAATTGAATATGGAAAATTATTTATTTAATTTTGCTATTATTTTTATAATTATTACAATTTTAAATATTAATTAGTAATCTATATTTAGTGTTGCCATTATTATATTTATAACCATAAAGAAAAATATAAAATGTAGTATTAATTATTAAAGCCATATAATTGTTCTATGTGTAATTTAAAAAAGTTAAAATTAATTAAGGATAATAATTTTAATTTAGTTTGCTATTTTTTAAAAAACAACTTACTAAGCAACACTATTAATATATACTTTTACAAATGAAAAATGAAAAATATTAGTCTGATAAGCTGTCATTTTGATCTACACAGTATGAACTTACTACATCTGCCTGTCTGTTATGTTTATATTTATTATTTGATTTTATTATATTAATAACAGGATCCCATGACGATGGTAGTACCCAGCCATCTTCCCTATTGAAATTAGGATGTTTTTTAATTTCTATGGCTTCTCGAATCATTCTAGGGCGATATCGGTTTTCTTTCGCCAGGATTTGAGGTCTATCGAAGCGAATATAATGGCTTGGGCGGTCCTGACTATGTTTGCAGACAGCAGATGTTGTATTGCGACGGTGCTTCACATCAGCTATGTGTTCTTTGACCCGGGTTCTAATGGATCTCTTTGTTTGTCCGATGTAAGAGAGCCCACAATCACAATCAAGCTTGTAAACTCCTGCATCTTGTAGAGGGATGTGGCACTTGACAGGTGGTAGAAACTGACTAATTTTCTTTGGCGGCTTGAAGTAAGTTTTAATTGAAGCTCGCTTTAGAATGTAGCCAATCTTGTCAGTGACGCCTCTCATGTAAGGTAGGACTGCAGGGACGCGCTCGACTGTGGCTGGTTTCACTCGGTCCCTGTGACGTAGGCGCGGCACTTGCAGCTTGTTGTCTCGCAGAACTTGCTTGACATGTTGCAGCTCTCCGGCCAGGTGTTGCTCGTCACAGATCCCGCGTGCCCTCTGAAACAAAGATTTTCCCACGGTAGCTAACTGTGAAGGGTGGTGGTGAGATTCACCATTCAAGTACCTATCAGTATGGGTCTTCTTTCGATACACAGTATGACTTAAGGTGTTATCTGGGTTACGTATAACTAATACATCTAAGAAAGCTAAAGAATTATTAGACTCCAATTCCATTGTAAATTGTATTTTAGGGTTTATGGAGTTAAGATGTTCTAAGAATACAGATATTTTATCAGATGGTAATATTGTGAAAGTGTCATCTACATACCGCTTGTAGAAACGAGGGGTCACAGGTGATGTGTTTAGGGCGGTCTCCTCGAAGGCCTCCATGAAGATGTCAGCTACAACGGGAGAGACCGGCGAACCCATGGCCACTCCATCCACTTGCTTGTAGAATTCATCATTCCACAATAGATAGCCAGATGTAAGGCAGTGTTTCAAAAGTTCAGTGTATTCTTCTTGCATACTATTATCCCGTAGCTTTCTTGATACTATTTTGACACAGTCCTCTACTGGTAGGCTGGTGAATAGAGACTGTACATCAAAACTGACCATAGTTTCATTGTCCATGAGTTGTAGGTGTTTTATCTCATTGACAAAATGGTACGAGTCCCTTGTGAACGCTGATGTTTGTCCTCTGAGTGTTGAGAGTACTTTCGCTACTAGTTGGGCCAATTTATAAGTCGGTGTGTCGATTTGACTCACAATTGGACGTAGCGGAGCGTTAGGTTTGTGTATCTTTGGAAGTCCATACAGTTTAGGCGGCTTTGCACAAGATGGAACAAGATTTTTGACATCAAGATTCAATGCATCGGAGTGTTTCTTAATCAGCTTTTTAGTATTATTTAACACAGTGGTGGTTGGGTCTGTTTTGACCTTTTTATATGTACTTTCATCCGACAAAAGTTGTTTAATTTTCTCATTGTAATCTGATGTATCCATCACGACGGTGGCATTTCCCTTGTCTGCGCGTAGTATGATAATGTCTGACCTGCTGCGTAAGTTCTTCAACGCTAAATACTGTTGTTTGTTGAGATTAGGTTTGGGCCTTGAACTACGACGTAACAAAGATGAAACATCTTGACGTATGGCCTCCATATCCTCAGATTTCATAGTATTTTTGGCCAGGGCATCTTCAACCGCACAAATAATGTTCTCATAAGGGATGCGTGTCGGCGCAACAGCAAAATTTAAGCCTTTACTTAGTACTTGAATAGTAGATTCGTCCAATGTTTGTTTTGACAGATTGACAACTGCAAAAATTCAAATAAATCCGCGACAAAATCCGAAAAGATAGTTTTATTTAAAATGTCAAATATTCGCGTAAATCTAAGAAAGTATTTCGCGTAAATCTAAGAAAGTATTATCATTTAATTATTTAACTATTTTTACGTCATTATTTTTTTCTCATAAGTAGTTATAATTATTTTTTGAATTATTACGTAAATTTACTAAGTAAGATTTTACTTAAACCAGTTCATTTAAATACTTTTTTAGGACTAGCGCTTCCTACCCGTTATCGAGTAGGACAATGTTTTTTTTTATTGAGAATACACTTATGCGTCATGTGCTGTATTTGTCCTACAGTTATTAATGAAAGTATCACCGTGGGGACAACAATATACATTTTAATATACCTACACCAAAGTTTATTTCCACGTAACTTTAAACTTAAACTATAGATTTGCGTCAGGTCCGTCGTAAGAGCAGGCGAAGGGACTGGGTCTTCCTCTGCCAATCAGTTCCGCAACACGAAGTAGTATGTACTCGCGGCGGTAGATATCTCGTGGATGTCACTCAGGTATGTAGAACTCCTTGTGCTGAGCGTTCTAGCGTTGTCTCGTGTCATCTCACGTAATCACCGTTGACACCGTTGAATATTTTTGTGTCTGTCCACCTTGGTAACCATGTTGTCTGTTTTAAGGAGAATATAATACCCGGTTCACAATATTACAGCAGTATTTTAGTCCAGCGATCGAAACCAGCGCTGGGATGCCACTGCAATCATGTGAACGGCACTGGAATTTACCCATTCCAGTGTGCAACTCAGTCCAGTGACTGGATTGACTGTCTACTTTTCCATTCCAGAGCGCCCATTCCAGCGCCACTGGAATAGTGTGGACGTCCAATACTGGATTAAACGCTGAACAGTGAACACACATTGTTGTTTTTTAGGAACACGAATTGTTGTAGTTCTAATTATTAAAAAAGTTGAGTGAAAACACTCCAGTTTCTTTCTTTATACAGAGAACAAGTGTGTTTGTGGGATATCACATCAGAATATTATAAAAAACAAAGAAATGCGCCGGTCCATCCTGTAAAAAATCTATGACGATATGCAAATCCTCTTCCACTACATCACTTATTCTTCTAACAGTAGTAATTGAACAGTTTTAAATCAATTTTCGAACCCTTTTCTTGTAATCATCGTTACTATAGTGTTACCGAATCAACAGCTGTTGAATGACTGGAGTAATGTAAACGACATGATCCAATTCAGCACTGGACTGATTCGCTGAATTACTGGACTGGAATAATGTGAGCCGGACATAAAGGTTTATAGGACTCTCATGGTACCAAATTCTATTGTTAGAACACCAAAACAACGGCAGATATAAAGGAAATTAAAAAGTATGCACTATGAAAATGGTCATTTTCACAACTATCAAATTCATTAACTTCAAATACGTTCATTAATATATATACAATACGTTCGTATCCTCGCGTGTGCTCATTTCCGACACTCTAGGAGTCAACTGAAAAAACAGTCTGGTAAATAATAGAATTTCAACACTGAACAAAATATAAACCACCTTTGACAATCAAATGCTGACATAAGGATGCAGCTGTAGCGACAGCAATTTCGTTGCTTTAATTGCTATTTTAACATTAAAATTGTGATTTTTAGGTATTTTAATATAAATTGACATTCGTTTAAAATAATTATTACATTAATTAACAGTTTAAAAACTTTTGTTAATTTACTTTTTTTTTCTTACAGAATTGTTCGATGAAATTTACATTACGTTAATTATTTATTTCAAAATCGTTGTAGCGCAGCTATAGCTTACAGTAGGCCACCCACCAGTCGGCGGCGGTCTTTCAAACGTTTTCTTTTGAATGACAAAATGGCGCATGTATACGATTTTTTGCATCATAGATTTTTTTTAAATGATGAAGTATTTTAGACTATTGAAAAATTAAATAATAAATTACATTTCTAAAATTATTATCTTATAAAAGAAAGTTAAGTTTCACAAAAGCTGTTTTTATTAGCTGTTTTTCTAAATATTGTGGGTCATAAGCTTGATATGAATAATATTATTTATAATAATTTAAGAAGTAATAAATAATATATAATAATAAATATATAATAATGATATGTTTAAAAAAATTGATTTACTATGGTTTTCTTGACTTTATTTACTTTACCAGATGCAATATCATTTCTGGGAGCTATATTCCGGGATAGTGAATGTTGTCAACTTCAGCTAAGGTTGATAAGCTTATGCTGTAATGGTGTTTATTTTATTGTCCATTTTGATTGTATTTATTTAATTTGAAAAATGCACTTTTTTATTTGAAGGTATTTATCAAATTGATAATTTTTATAGACATATATCATCCCACTCTACCTATAGTTTATAGGAACTTCGGTTACATCCTGTATATTTTTAAGTATCTTACCTTCTATGAACCATTTTATTAACAGCTCCAAAAGCGCCTCGTCCTATTTCACCAAGATCTTGCAGATCATCTGCAGTAAAGTCATATATCTCAGTAGCAGATAGCTGTAACTTTCCCGAGGATTGCATTGATGGATAAATTCTACATCTATCTCTGAAATTTAATTATTTTTAAACGCTGATTGTATTTTTTCTTGCAATTATAATCACTAATTTATTTAAATCAGATGAGATATTATATATAAGACCAGAGATTTAGATGTAAGTGGGTCAGCTGTATTTTTTTACACATAGGTAATATTAATCTAAAAAGGCTCGAAATTGAGACATAATTGTATGTTATATTATATGAACGTATATGTGATGTATGACATGTTTCAAAGTTGAAATATGAAAACAAAATTACCTTGTGTTATCTGGCAATACGTCTCTGATAGTACGTGAAGGTATTCGAGATTTTTGTGTCGACGTATTGGGGGAAAACGGCATAAATGCAGCAGTATCAACTGATGGCCCTCCAAATTGGAGGTTTAATACTTTACGTTTTTCTGTACCAAATAAACTAAGTTCAGGTTTTGAATTATTCGGTCTACTTGGCCCTGAAATTGTAAGTACCGTTTTAGTTTCATTTAATGTTTTAATATATAGTTCCTTCCACAATGTTGATGTTTACTTCGATTAACAATTACCTTGATTTGACGACACTTCGCCATTCTTTGACATTTTTAACGATTATATCGAAGTAATCTGCGAAAAATTAGTAAACGTTGTTTAAATGTTATGTTTGGAATTCTCCATTGGTAGCCAACAATAAATACAATGTTTTCGTTTTCATATCAAGAAATTATTAAGTGTATCCTTCAAATTATGCATTGTAGATGCCAGAAATTTTCACAACACGATCGCACAGTACACAACACACGAAAGAGTTTGACAATAAAATATGTTGCTACATGACAAAATGTATTTCATATTTTATGCATAAAGACATACCCTGTTTTCCAATTAGAGCACTAAAGCGCATTATGCGGCATAATGCTAACTTCGAATGTTCCTACAACAGCAACGCACGGTCGGCTCAATCGAGCATTTTGAAAAGTACTGGTTTGGCGTGATCCGCGCAAGGATACTAATTACCAACTCAATAACAGAAAATATGAGAAGTGTTTTTTCTTCAGGGTGGCATTGATCAAAATTTTATTTACATTACCGTTACTAATATTTTATTATATTTTATTTATAAACTATATATTATTTAGTTATATATTATTATATATCTAATATTATAAAAAGGTAAACTTTGTAAGTTTCTGATTTTGCGACCCTGGGAAGGACATAGTATACTTTTTATCCCGGAAATCATCCCTTAAGGGGGTGAAAATGATGATGATAGTTTGTATTGGGAAGCAAGCTAGGGATAAACCCGAGAGAAGCGAGGGTGCGTCGCTAGTTTATTATATAATATATAATATCGACGATATATATTATTATATATTATATAAGTATTAGTTAGTTATATTTTTTTCTTTTAACAATAAACCTACCCAAGTAGCAAAATAGTCCTGGCCAAAGTAATATATAAGAAGAAAAGCTTTACAAAAGGTTTATAAGAGTCCTGATTAGGAAGGGACCTCTTATAGAGGCATGTATAAAGACGTTTTGAACTATATGAGCATACAAACTTATAGTGAGCGCTTACAGATATATATAAGAACTCCTTGTAAAGTACATATAAGAAGTATTTAAATAAGTTATATAAATACACTTTTTAAGACTAATCACTCTTGTTGATTTTTTACACTCAGTACAGCAATTTATATGATTGTTTGCTCTTATAACTGCCTTGGGTCAGTGTAATATAAGAGCACTTCTGTTACTAAAGCATGATATACAACTGTTGAATAAAAATTGTAAGTGTAATTTGTCTTAGGCAGTGCGTTTTAAAGAGACCAGCATGTAGGAAGATGTTTTATAAGAACACTTGAACTCACAAACGTCATAAGCATGCTTTATTAAGTATATTAACGACCTCACCTTTATAATTTTACGAGTGGTTTGTTATATGCATAAATGTTTATTTAAAAATATATTTTTTTTTGCAATCAATGAAAATCCACTTCATTTTTAGGTATATATGTGGGAGATAAAAAGCCATCTAACTTAGAAGCGACGTTAAGTAGAGTTATTATAATTTGAAAAAAATATTTATTAAATTTAAAATTCATTATACGATAAAACGAAATAATATACTACTAAAATTCCAAGCAAAATAGGAAAAAAAACTTTGAGAGTTGTTTCGTAGAGATACATAACTACATAATCAATATTAATAATATATATGTTGTGATATTAACGTTATTACGTAAACATTGTGATTTTTGGTTCTTCTTTTTTACTAAGGAATCCTAAACATTATGAAAAATGGCTGGCGACAATTGTTTAGGCTAATGTTTATTTAAGAGCAATTGTCTTAAAACGTACTTAACTATCCTTAAATAAGAATATTAAGTCTTACAGTGGATTTAACTAAGATCTTTTAAATGTTCTCATATAGTAACCTGTAAGTCAGATTTGTAATAATGTAAAAAAATGGCGATATTTTCTTTTATTTCACATTTTATTAATTTAACAATTATTATTTAAAACAAATTTTAGAAATGGCCCGAGGGTGTAATGTTATTTAAATTAAAATTCCTTCGAATAAATCGCCTCCGCAGGTAGATCAACATTATGATAGATACGTAGAAGCAGCTAAGAAGTACATTGGTATTAAATTAATATCAAGTAAATACTTCCATTTTTAATATAGTTTATATTAAAAACACAACTTAGGTTTTTCATGATGTTTGACACAAAAATACTCTTAAATTGGGATCACAAATAAGACGAATTACACTTAGAACGACATTAATAAGACTACACAGTGGCATTTTGCGCTTACACCATGCCAATGTAAAACACTTGTAAGACTTATTTACTTTTACAACAGCAGCAGATCACTGTAAGTTTGAAAACGCTCTTCATATGACCATAATACAATAACTGTAAGGGTAAACGCTCTTACTAAGTGCGCCCAATTCCACACTTACCAACGTTTGTAAGTATACTATAAGAGTAAGAAAAATGTACTCTTAGGATACCTGTAAGACTAAATTTTGCTAGTTGTAGTGCCCTCTGCTGGTGTACTTGAAAACTAATTCACGTTCCAAATAAGCATTAGCACACTTCGGCCTTGTGCGCTCAATTACAGCATTATGTTCTGTAATTGGAAAACAGGGATAAAGATCTTCATCTATACTATAATAAAACTTTAGAGGTCGAATGTCTGTACATAGCAAAAAAATGCTAAAAACCGAGTCAAGGGGATGATTCTTCATCATCCCCTTGACTCGGTTTTTAGCATTTTAGGTTTTTAGCAAATAGAACAAATCCAGATTTTTTTCAAATTTTTTGTTTCTCTGTCTGTTTGTCTGTTTGTACGGGCTAATCTCCGAAACTATTGGACCGATTTAAATGATTTTTTTTTGATCGTACCTTATATTCCAACCCAACATGTAAGATACTTTTCATTCCGGAAAATTAAAGAGTTTCTGTGGGATAGTTAAAAAACTATAGTAACTTATATAGCATAGTACACAACAACTTATGCAACTAATTTAGTAAAATTTGGCATGCTGATACCATAATTGCCGGTCAAACTTTTCATCCCGGAAAAATGAACGGTTTCCGTGGGATAGATCTGTTTTTGTTTGTTTGTAACGTACTGTTTGTAATGTACACAATATAGACCCTAAAACAATAGTTTTTAAAAATTTTGTCTGTTTGCCTGTGTCTGTTTGTATGTTTGTACGGGCTAATCTCTGAAACTGTTGGACCGATTTAAATGAAATTTTGCATGGTGGTACCTTATATCCCCAGTCAACATATTAGATACTTTTCATCCCAGAAAATTAAAGAGTTCCCGTCGGATAGTTAAAAAACTATAGTATCTTATACAGCTTAGTACATAGCAACTTATGCACCTAATTTAGTAAAATTTAACATTCTGATACCTTATATTGTCGGTCAAACAACAGGTTACTTTTTATCTCGGAAAAAGGAACGGTTCCCGGGGGAACCAATATATCGCAATTAGTGTTTTTCTAGAGGCGAACCCGACCGAAGCGATGGTGAGTCGCTAGTGGTATTATATATTAACTGCCTCGGTGGTGTAGTGGCTAGCATGTACGGCTGCGCACCCGGAGGTTCTGTATAGAAAGCCTCAGTAACAGCTCGAAGTTGGGAAGTTGGCGGTGTTTCACCCCCGTGCCTCGGAGAGCACGTAAAGCCGTCGGTCCTGCACTGACACTCACCGGTCGTGTCGAGTAGTCGTTTCACCGGAGTATGAAAGTGACAGGAATAGAGAGTGCACCTATGTCTGCGCGTACACTGGTGCACTATAAATTATAATGTCTCCTGCGCATTTGGCTAGTCTCAATCAGATTGACCGCTTTGGCCGGAATCGGTCAGGAGAACATTTTGCTACCGATCACAAACTATATAAATGATACGCATTTAACCGATTATAATATATAGTTAGGCTATATTACAAATTATTTAATATAAATTGTCGTTATTTTGTAAGTTACATTAGCAAAAATATTTTTTTTCTAGTCACATTTAGACATTGCGACGTAAATATTTAATAACTACCTACAACAAAGCTAATGTTTTTATTTGACGTACACGGTACAATATATACATAAGTATAACCGCACTGATAGAGTTTTTGTCAGTGTATCCGTAATCTGTATTATTTTATTTAATAATATTAATGTGAAAGTGTGTATGTATGGATGTTTGTTACTCTTTCACGCCAGAACGGCTGAACGGATCTTGATGAAATTTGGCACAGAGATAGATTATAGTCTATTCCAGACTATCAGCTACTTTTTATCCCGGAAAAATGTACGGTTCCCGTGGGATAAATGTTTTAATTTTTCTACAGTACATAAATACAACACAAATTGATGTGTAAAACTATAATAAGAGTTCATACCTTGTCATAGTTTCCTATTAGATATTCATATCTTAAAATTATTATCAACTCTTCTCTAGATCTATGGTGCACATGGAGTGTGACAACTGACACACACTAAACTTATTATATGTCGACCTTAAATGAATAATAAAATATCGACATGGATTTGGATCTAGTCTCCATAACATTATAGTAAAAGACAGTCATATATACAACATATTTAATTAAAAAATTTGATATACAATTTATATAAAATAACAATAAATAAAAATTATTTATTGTTAACATATTAGCAAATAGCTACATATCTTTATTATTTTTATGTTTCTTTAAAAATCTTGGTTTGCCATCTGATTGTTTCTGTTCGAAAGATTGAGTTTTATTTTGCTTTTTATATTTTATCTTTTCTAAAGCATTATTTGAGTTTTCACCATTATTTGGTTCTCCATTGCAGCTATTCTTAATTGTATTGTGTGAAGTAGATTTTTTCTTTGATAATGTATTTGGTAATACACTGCCAACTTGTTTTAAGCTTGGTTTTGTTTTATCGAAATCAACATAAGTAATGTCCATTGATTTGTTGGGATTCATTTCCATAGCTTCTTCATCCCCATCTACACCCGATGCTACTGATCTGAAATTTCAGCTTAATATATTATAACTTTTTAAATAAAACTATCTTTACGGATTTTTTTGCAGATTTATTTTGATTTTTGGTCGCTCTCATGATCATGATTGCTGTAAAGTATTCGAAACGTCAGGAATCAAAAATCAAAATAAATTCGTGAAAAAATCCGAAAAGATAGTGTTATTTAAAATGTCAAATTTTCGCGTAAATCTAAGAAAGTATTATAACATATACTTTATAAGCTATCATTCTATCAAAATACCTTTCATCCAATTTACCCCTGATATATGGTAAGGCTCCATATAGATCTAATACAACTACATGAAAAACTACTTCTTGACCTTCTTCAATGTTAGATCCAATCCATTCATTTCCAGGTTCTTCTGTAGGTCTTGGTATTACAACATTGAATACTCTAAAAATAGTTCATTGTTTTAAAAGAAAATATTAAAATAACCCATTATATTTCAAAATAATATAGTACTGTTAAAACCATACCTGTGAACAAGAACACCCAGGTGTGTTATACTCTTTTTATTGACAACACCTTTTAATGTTGCTCCAACATGAGGACAAAATATGAAATAATCTGCCTGCACTTGAAAGTGGATATCTGCATTGTCATTTCTTATGGAGCCTACATTTTGTAATACTCGAAGGTTTTTGTAGCTTAGAAGAATTCCATTAAATCTATGATTAAATTAATATATCATTAGAATACAGTAAAGCTTCATAGGTGCGTGTAAAATGCAGATATTCTTTAATTGTGTATTGTTGTTGATTTGAAATTAAGATAAGTTTAATAATAAAGAAAAATATATAGTTACGATTTAATAAAATTTATTTTTCAGTGTATGTTTACAGAAAGGCAAAATATATTAAATGCAAACATGTATGTATGTATGTAAAACGTAAAACATAAATCACAAATAAAACTTACTCTTTATCGAATTTTCCTATTTTATAATCAAGCAAATTCTTTATAGAATCTTTAAGATTACCTAAACACCATGGTTGTAGGGCTAAGTTTTGAGTCACTTTTTTTTCAATAACACACGAATTTTTATCGTTTGCTAATTTCCTAAGCTCTTTGAGTTCAAATTTGATAATAGTAGACATTTTTAAAATAGCTTTGAATTACGTTTCCATTTTAATTTATTACAAAAACGTAAATATAGTAAATATTTTTAGATGTTTGACACTTGACAGCACAAAAAAGATTTTGTTTTTTATTAAATGTTTTCCACAGAGTAAGCAAAGATTGTAGCAGCTAGTGTTTAGTGCACACGATTAGTTTAAGACAGATTAAATGCCGTAAGTTTATGACAAACTATAAAAGTACCTATAAGCTGTAAATAACAGTTCAAAAACCTACCAGAACAGCGCTAGCGTAGCACAAGGGTATGATTTGAATATAGCAGAACTTGTAAATGCAGTGAAGTGTACTGAGTTGAAACTTGAGACGTATTTTGTATTCATATTATGAGATATATTTTGGGTGACTTGAGAAGTTATTGAAACTATTTACGTAATCAAAATAATTTTGTTAATATAATGAAAAAACGTAGAGAGATATTTATTTTTTAATTTGTAATAATACTGTTGGCGCTTTGTTCTAAATGTACTCACTTGTAACCGTGTCGCCACTTTAAATTAAGGCTTTTCAATGGATATTTTTTTATCACAGACATAGTTCTCCTTAGGTTTACCCTCCATAGTGGTCTATGAGTAGCCTTTACTCAGTCTGTGGTAAATACTAAAAAGGTTAGTGGTTACTCTATGGTAAATATTAAATAACTCAAGTCTCAAACGTCAAAGCATGGATTCAAAATCAACATAAAATGATCATTTGAGTTAAATAGGCACTAAAAAAGTTTTAGCTTTTTGTTAAATCAAAATAACGTTAATCTAAAAATGAATAATTTCGGATCGAAATTAGGTATTATTACTAAATACGCCTTGCAAACATCTAGTGCTAAGTTGTAAGTGTTCTTGAGGGTTACCAATGTGAATAACCTATTTATGTTGTATTTCTATTTTGTATGCTGTTCAAATAATTTATAATTTTATATTTTTCAGTTACCCTAGGCTCTTACAGTGTAGATTTTACCCAAGACCGACTAGTTTTCCAGATTACTTTCAGAATCCCATATTTCGTAAAGAAGATCAAGAAAAACTAATTGAGAATAATGAATTGTCAAAATTAGCTACAGTTCCTGTTAAGCCTCCTGCTGTTTACGAAACATCTTCAGTATACCATGATGCACTAGTAAAGTAAGCAGTTTCTACATTGCTACAAATATATACTGATTGTTAACAGTAGCTATTTAATTAAATGAGTAAAATATGAACATAAATTGTGCCCAAATAGCACTTTTAGAACTAACAGAAAAAGAATTGCATTAGACTAGACAATAGACATATTTCTCTAGTAATTAATTGTTAATACAATGTGCATTATAATGTATATAATATGTATATAATCATATGAATATTGTGTACTATTATGCCCTATTACTTTTTCAAAGGAAACAATATTATTATTTAAGTATTTCAGTCCATTACAGTTTAGTTAATGTACATTTTCAATTCCATGTTTAAATTACATTTGTGTTATTATCTTAATCTACACCAATAATATAAAGAGGAAAGATTTGTATTTTTGTTACAAATAAATTCAAAAACTACTAGACCAATTTAGATGAAACTTGGTAAGAAGATAGTTTGAGACTCTGGAAAGGACATTTTTTATTCTGGAAATCATCCCATAAGGGGGTGAAAATGTGGATGAAAGTTTGTATGGGGAATCAACCTAGGGATAAACCCGAGCGAAGTGAGGGTATGTTGCTAGTGTTAAATATACACATACATATTTTCTTCATCAAATATTAAACTTTGAACCTTTTAGTGGGTTTAATTCTATATAACAGAGAAAACAAGTTGCTGCCACTATGTTACAGTCATCAAAGTGTTAATTATTATATTACACTTACTATTGTTTTATTAAAAAAATATTAAAAATTATTTCAGTAAAGTAATCAATCATGTCATGAAAATGGGCAATAAGAAATTGGCAAGGAGCCTAGTTGAAAAAGCTTTTGAAAATATCAAAAGAATTCAAATAGAACGATATCATCTTGCCTCTACTCCTGAAGAGAAGGCAAAAATTATACTAGATCCAAAGGATATAATACACATAGCTGTGGAGAATTCTAAACCTTTACTACAATTATTGCCAATAAAAAGAGGTGGCATTACATATCAGGTACTACTTAAGATAGAGTATATTTGTAACAAACTATTATTATTACTCATTCAACCATAAATCAATAAAAAAGGTAAAGAAATCTGTTAACTTTTGGGCTTATCAGTTTAAACATTTTTAAATCACAACACTGTTATGCAATATATGCAAACGCAAATGTTTGTATGTGTCTGTATGTTTGTTCCTTCATGTTGAAATGGCTGGATGGATTTGGATGTTAAATACACAGATAGACTGGAGAGACACATATTCTACACTTTGTAATAAAATTTACTTCTAAGGATGCATATCTGAGTCAAGTCAGGTGTGAGTATTCTCCCCCATCAACTCAGTAGGCAGGCTCAGTAGTGCCCGGCAATGCAGCCGGCGCGAAGCCAAGAAACGCACAGGGAGGTGGCCCACTTCGGTGGGCGGTGGGAGGTGGCCCTCTTCGGAGGGCGGTGTACCATGCGGGTTGCTCCTGGTACTTCTCTGATAGCAGAGTGGACCTTGGACCAACCCCGTGGTTGTTGTGGTCTGCTTCGGCAGACCTGCCGTCGGGGCCTCGTAGTTGAATGCGTAAGCGATCCTCCGACGCCCCATTAAGACGGGGGAAGGTTTTGTTGGGTTTTAGTGGGTAGTACTGGCTTTGCCGGTGAGTCCCACACCTCGTGCGTAAATGCATTTCCCAACGTTAAAAAAAAAAGGTGATAAAATAATCTTATTAAGTAGCTATTGAAAAAGTTCTGTTTGCATTATAGGTATAAAGTCCAAGATCATGTGTGAAGTCATTTTGATTTTCCAGTTACAATGTTTATAAAATTTTATGGAATGCTTCTATTAATATATTTTTTGCTTGACATTTTAGGTTCCTGGACCAATCTCTGAGAAAAGATCGCTTTTCTTAGCAATTAAATGGTTACTGGAAGCTACTAATGACAAAGAAAGAACAGTGCATTTTCCTGAACAATTTGCATGGGAGTTACTTGATGCTGCCAACAACACTGGCAAAGTGGTCAAGAGGAAACAGGACCTGCATCGCCAGTGCGAAGCTAATAGGGCATATGCACACTACAGATGGCAATAAATTAAATAGTTATAGGAAATATATATGTAGATAATAAAATAATAATAGTAAGCAAAATATAAAATTTGTTTTAATAAATTTTATCTTTATTTAATTCAGATATTCTATTTTTTTAGAAATTTCTTAATCAATACTAATATTATAAAGAGGTAAAGTTTGTGATCTTGTGAGTTTGTGAGTTTGTGATGTTGTAGGGGGTAATCTCTGGATCTACTGAACCGATTTTCTAAATTCTTTTACCAATAGAAAGCCACGTTCTTCCTGAGTGTCATAGGCTTTATATTATCCCGAAAAATGAAAAGGCTTTTTCGTTGTAGTCGGATTTGCAAAGTAAGTCGGAGAAAAAACCGTCGAACGAAAACGTTTCTTACGAACGCTGCCTTAACGATGGGAGATATATGATTATGTTCTAGAGAAAAGTTGAAGAGCTTAATAATGCCTACAAAAAAGTCAGCGACAGCATATGTCTAACTTTTATATTTAAGTCACGAAAAGTAGTTTTTTATATTAAAAAAACTAACAAAAAAATAAAAACCGACTTCAAACAAAAGCACTAAAAAGTAAAAAATAACTGATTGGTAGTTTTCATTTACTATACATACCTAATCAAATATTTTTTGGCTTTGGCTAAGTAATTAAATGCATACCTAATCAAATATTTTCGAAATCGGTGCCAGCCCATACAAAGCAAAGCACACCGACTTCGAAAATATTTGATTAGGTATGTATAGTAAATGAAAACTACCAATCAGTTATTTTTTACTTTTTACTTTTTAGTGCTTTTGTTTGAAGTCGGTTTTTATTTTTTTGTTAAAAAGTTTTTATTTTTCCCATTTTTAGTGTAGACAGTAGTAGCAAAGTAAGAATTTTAACGTGTTAGGCTCGTCAAATCAAACAAAATAAGCCCAAACTCAAAGTATCTACTATTAGCTGTTGAAGAGTTCCACCTATCCACCTGCTGGCCTTACCATCAGATCAGGTCAACAATACCGAACCACTGTACTATCAACGAGAATAGAAACCCTTGCAAAGTTTCAAGTCAACATGACAATTAGAAGTAGGTTAAATTCATCATTGGCTATTTTTCCACCCTTAGGGGTGGTATTTTTTTTGAAATTTAAATGGGACCAATCTGGAAGTATACACTTTCAAACAACACAAAAATTGTCCAAATCGGTTAATAAATGACAGAGTTCTGAGGTACCAAATATAAAAAAAATACAGTCGAATTGAGAACCTCCTCCTTTTTGAAGTCGGTTGAAAAATAATTTAAATCGGTAGGTCATGTTTTTTTGCATTGGTCATATTATCAAGAATTATGAATTCTTATCAAAATAAGTAAATTTATCGTCTAAAATGTTTAAAACAAAAGACTTCCCTTTTACTGCATATAATTTGGACAAATGGTTAAAGAGATAATATAACATATTCGTAGGTATGGACAAACCCGAGCGAACTGTTTGTCTGTTTTCCTGTTTGTACGGGCTAATCTAAGAATCTTTTGGACCGATTTAAATGAAATTTTGCATGGTGGTACCTTATATCCCCGGGCAACATCTTAGATACTTTTCATCCCGGAAAATTAAAGAGTTCCTGTGGGATAATTAAAAAACTATAACAACTTATACAGCTTAGTACACAAAAACTACTGATTGGATTTTAATGAAACCTTACAATAATATAGTTCATACATGACAAAAACAAATCAGCTACTTTTCATCCCGGAAAATTAAAGAGTTTCCGTGGGATAGTTAAAAAACTATAGTAACTTATACAGCTTAGTACACAACAACTTATCCTCCTAATTTAGTAAAATTTGGCATGCTGATACCTTATATTGCCGGTCAAACAACAGGTTACTTACATCCCGGAAAAATGAACGGTTCCCGTGGGATAGATCTGTTTGTGCGTGCCTAGAGGTGAACCCGAGCGAAGCGAGGGTGAGCCGCTAGTAATTAATATGTGAATTAAATTTTAAAAATGTTAGTCTACAATATACAAAATACGATGCAACCTTTTGTATGGGCTGGTGGCATCATTTTTTTCATTTCGCCAGTAATGAAACTTACAATTTGTCATAACTAGTTATGTATAGATTTTATATAGATTTTAGTTATAAATAATTGTTATATATATTTCGAATTCCATAGAAAACCACGGTTAAAAAATGCGAATGGTGATTGCTTCGGAAATACATAAAATACGAAAATAATTTATCAAATCGGTTTAGAGATTTATGTACTTAATCAACAAAAAAAAACAGCTTTTATATTACTTTAGACATAATAAATCTACACAAATAATAAAACTGTAGTGGTCGAATGTCTGTACATAGAAAAAAAAGCTAAAAACCAAGTCAGGGGGATGTAACAAGAGAAATAGAATAAATCCAGGTTTTTTTCAATTTTCTTTCTTTCTAATACGAAACTGTTGGACTGATTTGAATGAAATTTTGCATGATTGTACCTTATATCCCCGCTCAACATTTTAGATACTTTTCATCCCGGAAAATTAAAGAGTTCCCGTGGGATAGTAAAAAAACTATAGTATCAAATCAAAAACATAACATATAACAAAACGCAAGTCTCGCAACGCAGTTTTTCTACCTCAAAAAGTTGTTAGATCTAAAGTAAAACCATGTCAGTTAATATATTTGTTTTCTATGGAAACATCTATCCAAAAACTTCGCTATAAATAGATAGATATATTCAAGTCTGTGCGAATTAGTGTGAAATAATCACATTTCTTGTCTATTTTGATCTATTAGGGAATTAAGGATGTGTTTGAAGAATTCGATATATCTTGCAGATAGTATTTATGACGTCATCTATCTGAAAGTGGAATTTAATACCTGCAAGTTCGTGATAAGTATGTAACGACGAAATTAAAATCTGTTTATTGATTGTTTTTATCGTAAAGATTAGATATTCAAATACGACTTCGTACTTTATTTTATAGTTTTTAAATATTTTAACTAAGAATAACAAGGCAGGCAATACATTTGGATACATTATTAAAATATATAAGAAAAAAAGTTTAACCTAGTTGTTGGCTCGTCAGACAAACAAAATGGGTTATAAATTCTAGTGGATAATTTTATTCATTTATAGTTTGTTAGGTACTTGAGGTAGATATCTAACAAATGATTGTATTGATTGAAATTGTAAATTTATTGTTACATTAAGCTTTCGGGATGGATACCTAAAAAAGATTCTTCTCCAATGAGGAATTGGAACTAATATTAATATAAAATTTTCTTGTGGGCGTTTTCGGCTGCAACCATCGATCAAAAACTACTACATACTTATTTTGATGTTGATTTGAGTCTTTATTGTACAATTTAATATATATTTTCAGTTTGTTACAATAAAGATTTTTATTTATTTATCATTTATTTAAATAAGATGATGAAAATCAATTTCTGCAACTAAAAAGTAGCCACCTAACTTGAACAGTAGCTATAGAATTTAGAGGGACCACGTCTCTTTGAAACACATTAGACGGATCCAATACGTAGACAGTTTCAAACTTATTTCATATGGAAATAGTTCAAAGAAAAGGCTGAAGATAAGGATAACAAAATTACTTCAATTCTTATTATAATATATTCGACGAATATAATATGTTTTTTTTATCAATAAATCAATATCTATGGATTTGTGATTAGAGTGATAGAGTATAATAAGTAAGTAGTTGTTATTATCACATACAACAAACGAAATCTTATAGGTACCTATACAAAATATATGTATAAATAAAAATATTTATATCACATTACGACTTGAAATTCTCTGCCGGGATTACAAACTTACAGGTGACAATTAATTTCGACTTCAGAAGCGCATATCAAGCAGCTATTGTCTTGAATGAAAAAGTCCTACCTCATTTTTAAACATAAAGACTAGAAGCGAGTGAGACACCTTTACATACACTCAATATATAAGAGAGTTACTAAATTATTTTTGTAAGCTGTAATTAAGAAGAGCCAACTGCGCAGGAGTTATAGCGCTTAAACACAAATGCACTCTCTGTCTTTTTCAAACTCCAGTGGTACGACAATTCAAAACGACCATAGGATTAACGATTTTACCTGAGCTGTCTAGACACGAGGGTGTAACACCGCCAACTTTCCAATGCCAGGTTGCACAGTATTTGGTTGGTAATTAAACTAATTAATTAAAACTCTTGTACCTACTTGACCTGAATTGGGAATCGAAGACAGGATTTTTCCCTTTGTACACGACTGCGCGCACAAAGAAGGACAATGTGTTTATCCGCCTATATATGTGTGTATGTATGCGATGACGATTCATACTTCGTTAGATTCGATTGATAACGCGAGCGTAAAATGGTGGATTTCAGGTGCCAATTTTTGTCTTCCAAACCAATCGAGTGTATATAAAAAATCGCTAAATAAGTATAAATTCAAATGTCAAAAACTAAAAAGCTGTTATAGGTAAATAAAAAATCTATACATATAATAAAATTCTGTGATTTTTTTTTTGGAAATCTTGCAAAAAGTCATTATTATAACCGATACAGAGGCCGAATCTATACTTTTTAGAATTTTTGTCTGTCTATCTGTCTGTCTAACTCTGGGAACAACGCATCACGAGAAAACCACTGGAGATTTTTTTCATGAAATTTAGTATGATGGTATCTGGTTATCCGAGTCAACATATAGAATACTTTTTACTGCGGGAAACTATCTCATCTCTGAGAAATCTATAGGTTTCGGTGATTCATTGTTATTTATATAGATTTTTTTATTAATTTCAGCAGTACTTGTGTACCTATAGGCTCCGAGATATATGATTATGTGATATGATTGGTTGTTTTTGAAATTTTCGCCATAAAACCCAAAAAGATAAGTAACATTGGTAATTGTAGGTAATTTTCACAAATAAATGTAAAATGTATGTACCTAATCAATGCATTTCTACAATACCTTTATTACCATTACTATTATTATTATTATATACAGCCTAGGAATGTAAATTATATTGTTTATACCTGAAATGACTAACGTTATGACCTGCCTACGTACTAAACAAGATTTATATCTACCTCGATGATAAGAGACACTTGCTACGGCGTTAGTCGTTTATTCGATAAGTGCGTGAGGTGGATCGTATTGGTTTCAGTGTTTTTTATGTAATTCTCAGGAGTATTTATAAAGTGGCGACAATTCATAAATAAATTCAATATAACTGTTACAAGTGCTAAAAGTATACACCGTTTACCTATAGTGGTCGGTGCAAACTTATATCCGAGATATACTTTTTATGTTTAGTGATTTGCTAACAATATACTCGTACATACAGTCTACTTTTGGATCTCTGATTTATAAAAAGTGCGGTAAGTTTATATGCAATTTTTTTTACATTTTTCTTTATTTAAAGTTATATAGTTCTGGTAAATTTTAAATTTGAGTTATGATTTATGCTTTATTTTTTAAAGATAAAATATTAATAGAAAATTATTTTTACAAAAATCATCAACTGGCAAGTACGAGTAGGACTCTCATGAAGCAAAGTTCTCTACAGTTTGAGAAGTTGCAGAATTTAGTAGAGTCAGGGCTTTCGTTATATTATTCCGTATTTCATTTCGAAATGCTTGTCTCTCTAATTTTACAGATAAGGTAGGGGGAGATTGCCCAATTTTCGCGCATTTCATGTAATAACTTTTATACGTATGAATAAAATAGTAATATTTATATTCATCAAACCAGACACTTTTTTATAATACTAGCGCACTCGATAAAACTTTTTATTTACTATAAAATTAAAACACCAAAATTGATTTTATTTGCCTAGGCTATACGTGCATCCATATTTTCGAAGTCATTGCCAGCCGACAATTCTTTAAGATAATATGAATAATACGTATCTAATAGGCCCATACTAAATATCCCTTTAATATTATAAATGCGAAAGTTTGTGAGATTGTATGGATGTCTGCAAAAACTACTGAATGGATTTTAATGAAATTTTACAATAATATATCAGAATAACACGTAGGCTACTTTTTATAACGGTTAAATGTTTGGTTTCCGTGGGATACATTTGTTTTTGATTCTCTTGAACCCGAGCAAAGCGAGGTTGAGACGCTAGTATATTTTAAATGTGAAAGTTTGTGAGGATAGATGGATAGATATTTGCTACTCTTTCACACCAGAACGGCTGAACGGATCTGGATAAAATTTGACACAGAGATAGCTTATAGTCTGGAATAGCAAATATGTTACTTTTTATCCCGGAAAAATGTACGGTTCCTGTGGGATAGATTTGTTTTTGTCTAGGGACATCCGAAGCGAAGTGTGTCGCTAGTTATACATAAAGTGATGTATTATACATATACGCTCTGTATTTAGGTTTTCTTATCTACCGTCGCGACTTGGGTGCCTTTGAAGTAAATGTCACATAAAAAATAAAAATATTTTCCAATATATGTACTTTCTTTTTTTTTACAAAATAATGATTTCCTTTAGCTTTAACAGGAAAATACCTTCTCTTAAACATAAAAGTCTATCGGACCATACATTTAAAACAAGGATAATTGATTCATTATTAAGGACTTAGGTTATTCCCAGTTCTATCGACATAAAAATAGGCTAAATTATAATAATTGGTTTAAGTGGATCAAAGTCAGTCTACAACGCTTCCTGTGACGTGTCTAGGGCAATAAGGCAATAAGCAAATTAATAGCCGTGCTACTCGTTAGATCACCTACACGATCTCTCGACCAGCCTACACAATGGTTGCTATGTTCAAATTTACTAGATCAAATTTTTGTCTAAGGTGAACTTCTGTATAGAAATAATATATTATATGTCTATTTTGTCATGAATAACAAGATTAAATTGTTTGAATAAAACTAATTTTAAAATATAATTCATTTAATCTTTTAATTTTTAGTATTATGCTAGTGACATATCACTTAGTGCCTAGGTACCTATAATAAGTATTTTACTCGTAAATAGGTGGAAATAGTTATTGCGAGTGTTTACCTTAGGAGAAAGACATAATAATGCAATTGCAGATTTTTCTGTAGGCTTTATATGTATTTAAGACCTATAATTTTCTAGTACCTACCTACATTGTTTTGATGTGACTCTTAAGGTTTCGCCAGCGTTAGAACATGTGAATTTCTAAGAACGACTCGATATTACCAATTATTGTGTTTTCCGTGGGTATGAAAGATATAAAAGGTATCCTTAATATTGACTTGAGTAATAAGTTATCACTACACAACATTTAATTAAAATCGGTCCAGTACCTACCTCTCTTCAAAATATTTCATGTACCTACAGATTTCGCTAAGTTACTGTTTTATTATATGTATGTAGATTCGTACGAATATATTAACGAAAATTTAATTAAAAAAATAAACTTTTATTTAACGCGATAATGTCTAACTAAGGTTATATTTTAGAAGTAACTACATAAAAACGTTTTCTCTTCAATCATGAGAAGTTATTATTAAACCTTATTTCTCCTTTAGAAGATCGCTACAAATTACACTTATAATCTTACTTAATAAGTATCTACTATAGTATTGTATATATCTATATTAATAAAAAATATATATAAAAAATACCGAATTATTTTATTAAAATTCACAGAATATGATAGTTCGTAAAGATGCTGTTGAAGCTGGCGCCTTCACGAAATTTCGTCTATTGATGTGGAAGAATTTTTTGCAACAATGGCGGCATCGAAAACAAACTTTTGTTGAATTACTGCTTCCTGTTTTAACAATGACGTTAGTTCTTATTTTGCGACATCAGATAGAGCCAAATAAGGAGGGTCCTTTATCTTATCCACCTATACCTGCATACAGCCTTAATCATTCCGCAGTCGTATTGTAAGTTATTATTGAATATAAGATACGGCTTAAACGATTTATAATTCAAATATATTGTACATTTATAATATTTATCTTTGCAGCGCAGGTTTAGATATAAAAGAATTAAGTTTGGCGTACTCACCCCAAAGTCCAATTTTAGATGACATAGTTCGAAGTGCTGTTGTTAATCTACTGGCTTTAAATTTAAGAGATCTAATCTCTATTATAACAGAACAAGAAAATATTTCTCCCCCTTTTCCTATAGAAATACCTCCAGATTTAAATACTACTTTAATATATGAAATTGCAAAACGCCTAGTGAGAATAACGCCATACAATAGTAGTTCCCAGCTGAGAGGTATATACAGAGATGAACAGGAAATTCGTCGGGTCATAGCGGCCATTCAATTTGACGACAGTTTGTTAGGTAAGTTGGTAAATATTTTTTTTAATAATTAAACATGATAAAATCAAAAAAAAATTGAAACAAAACTGAACTGGTTTAGGTACCACACAGCTACCAAATAACTTGACGTACGCAATAAGATTTCCTGAAAGACCTCGCTTGAATTCATTCTTTGGTTATGGAGGACGTAGTTGGCGTACACAAAATAGTTTTCCCCTTTTTGAACTACCCGGTCCAAGATTTCCATACTCGTGGGAAGGAGGAAATGATCCAGGTTCGTTATATTTTTTTTCACAAAAATCTATATTTAATTTTGGTTATTGAGATATATGTAAATGTAATATTTAATATTTTCTAGGTTACGTGAACGAATTATTTATAGCTTTACAACATACTATATCCATGGAACTGATATCACGTGTCGCTGGTGAAAGACTGCAAGATGCATTCCCAGTCAATATACAAAGATACCCACATCCATCGTACATGCAAGATCTCGCTGTGCAAACTCTAATATTTATATTCCCAATGTTTTTCATGATAAGTTTTAGCTATACAGCTGTAAACATCGTACGAAATGTAACCGTAGAAAAGGAACTCCAACTCAAGGTATTACAATATGTGCATATTTCATTATCTGGAGTTTTTATGATTAAATTTAACTTATTTTGACATAAATAGGTAAAGTAATCAAGTTTCAACATATTTTGTGGTAATTGTCTAAAATTAAGGTATACGTTAGTCGGTACACAGTATAATATCTCTCACTTCATGTTTGAAAATAATCCTTATTACAGGAAACTATGAAAATAATGGGTCTTCCTACGTGGCTACATTGGACGGCGTGGTACTTTAAACAAATGATATACATGATAATTATCACGGGTTTTATCTTGATTATACTAAAGGTTTGTAAATTAAAAGTAATTATATTTAAGTATTATTGAATGAGTTTTTGAATTTTATTCAAATGTGTTTTCAGGTAAATTGGTTTACAACTGAAGACGGCTTTAGAGGCTACGCTGTATTTACTAACACTCCGTGGACTGTTCTGCTGTTTTACATTACTCTTTATTTATCTTGTACCATATTTTTCTGCTTCATGATAAGTGGTTTATTCTCTAAAGGTATAGTCCTAATGACAGTAACATTACACGATTACACGTTAGCAATTAGTAAAAAATAGTGTACATAGATATTTCGATACAATTTTATGCCTTCGTAAATCGCAGGTTTTCAATCAGCCCAATGGTTTGATTAGGTTTTATAATGTAACTTACTTAGGGACATTTTTATTAAGAGCTATAGGCCAAGACTTTAGAATTTAGCAGTCGCTGAAGTTAGTTAGTATATCTAACTTTTCCATTAGCCAATATTGAATCGGCACAGTGCGCGCGCAGGCACACTTCTTTATACTGATTAGAACTCAATAATATTACTGGCTTACAAATTGGTAGTCCATAGCACGGTGATGTAATATATGTAATGATATGTAATGCATAATATTACCGTGTCCATAGTCTGCATAGGCTGTTAAACAATTATAAAAGTTTTTATGTAAAAATAACTTATTTCAACGTTTATTTATATAGTTTATTCGAAATTAGAATTAGGTACTTTTTACACTATTATAATATTTATAACTTAAATATTTTGTTACTTATGTTACATGTATTAATTTTGCAGCAAGTACAGCAGCGTTATTTGGAGGAGTAATATGGTTTATGTCATTTGTCCCAGCTGTTTTACTGGGAATCGACGTGGAAATATCGTTGGTGGTTCAAGCTTTCACGTGCTTGAGTATCAATACAGCTATGTCTTTTGGATTCCAGTTAATATTAAGTAAAGAGAACAATGAGGGTAAGTAAATGATTTATGGCAAATACTACATATGTATTAAAAAAAATTTAAGTTACTCATGTACGGAATTTTTATTATTATTTTCAGGTATGCAATGGGGTGAGTTTTTCACAACACACTCCGTCGATACCAATAGATTATTGTTCGGCCACGTTTGTATTTTTCTTATAGTGGATAGTGTACTGTACATGTTGATTGCGTTATACTTAGAACAAGTTATGCCGGGCCCATTTGGAGCTCCGAAGCCATGGTATTTTCCTTTTCAGAAGTCTTTCTGGTGTTCACCAAAAAAAGTCATTTACGGTAAGTTGCGAGTTTTCGGAATATAAAATTTACTTAGTTAATAAGTAGCATAAATATTTAATGTTTTTTTTTTGTATTTTAGATGATTTATTTACTGGTACTACGGATATGGACGGAGAAATGATTAAAGAAAAAGATCCAAGGAATCTTGATATAGGAGTTAAGATGATGGTAAAAAATTTCAATACATGGAATTTTTGTTCAGCTTACACTTGACATAACTAATTTTTGAAATTTAATTACAGAATTTAACGAAAGTTTATGGCAATAATGTTGTAGTAAATAACTTAAATTTAAATATATTCGACGATCAAATAACTGTTTTACTTGGACATAACGGAGCCGGAAAATCTACAACGATTTCAATGTTAACAGGTGAGTTAAATATCTCATACACAACAAAAATCATATTTTAAAGACAAACTTCCAGGGTTATATCATCGAATGTTTTTCTTTTATTTTTTTAGTATTCATTTGACTTAATTATAATTGCATAAGTATATTTTTGTATAATTTTATAGGCAATGTGGAAATTAGTCAAGGCAGCGTTTGGGTGGCGGGATATAATATGGCGACGCAAACCTCGTTAGGCCGCGCCCGTCTCGGTCTCTGTCCACAACATAATGTGATTTTTGACGACCTGACTGTCCGCGAACACTTTGAGTTTTTTACCAGACTCAAGGGATACAGTGGCAAGGACCTCTACTATGAAATAGATGACCTCATCGATAGATTGGAAATGCAAGAGAAGGTATTTCTTATTTATAATGTAAATCAGAATAAGGCAATACAACAACATATTTGACCCATTCAGGGTTACTGAAATCGATTGATTGATCAAATGATGAGCGCTAAATTCTACCAGACATCGCGTCCTTCCAGTTCCTTAGTCTTTTTAATAACTATAATTTTTTTTATATAATAAATAACTATAATTTTTTTTATATATATTTTATTTGTCTTTTATTACATCGTACAGAGAAATTACTTGGCAAGAGGTTTATCCGGGGGACAAAAGCGTCGGCTGTGTGTGGGAATCGCCCTCAGTGGTGGACCGCGCGTAGTGTTACTTGATGAACCTACTTCTGGCATGGATCCTTCCTCGAGAAGAGCTCTTTGGGATTTGCTTCAAAAAGAAAAGAAAGGTTAAATTAACTATTAATTTTAGATTTAAATAATGGTTTAATAAGTTTAGAACAAAAAGTGAAAGATCTTTTTTTGTCACACTTTATTCTTTAATATGTAGCTTTGTATTAAATTGAACATAGGAGATAATCTTATTTATATTTTAATATACAATTTAAAATGACTAGGACGATCGATCATCTTAACAACACACTTCATGGACGAAGCGGATTATCTTGGCGATCGAGTTGCAATAATGGCAAACGGTCGTCTTCAGTGTGTTGGCTCTCCATATTTCTTAAAGCAGCACTACGGAGTTGGATATACTCTGGTGATAGTGAAAACTGAAAATTTTCAAACCGAATATTGTACAGCACTTATCGGCAAATACATTCCGGGGACAGTGGTTAAAGAAGATCACGGTAAGAATATTTATTTTTAGTTATAACTAGCAACTCACCCTCGCTTCGCTCGGGGTCGGTTGGTTCCCCATACAAAATTTTATCCCCATTTTCACCCCCTTAAGGGATGATTTGCCGGATTAAAACTATTCTATGCCCTTCCCAGGGTCTCAAATTATCCACTTACCAAATTTCATCCAAATCGGTTTGGTAATTTCGGAGCCTATTCAGTACAAACAAACAAAATTCAAATCTTTCCTCTTTATGATATTAGTATAGACTAGATTTTGACCGCGCTCTCTCCCGCGTGGTAGCTATGCAAATGACTTATGAGTTTATCTAAAATAAAGCATATCTACCAAAATTCACTTATATTTGTTAAGCAGTTACAAAGAAGACCACACAATAGTGCTGGGCATCGCGAGCGAGGGTAACTCGCTCGTTTCTCGTTATTTCAAGTAAGACGGCCAAGCTCGGTAGTCTCGTATGTCTCGGCATGACTTGGTGCGAGAACACACAAATTGAATTTAGTAATCTATGGATGTGTCACTCACTGATATAAATTATTAACATATCTAAATTACTGATTTATTCGTTTTTAGTTTGTGATACATTTAGATAAGAAATACTTATGTTCGCATTTCAAATGTTCACACTTCAAAAAGCCTATGAATCATCTCTTGAAACTGAAAATGGATTATAAGTATAGGTACATACGAGTATCGACACATCGATAAAAAACCTATTTACGATTTAGTAGATAGGGACATACATAACGTGTATGACAGGTGTTAATCGAGGTATATTCTTTACACTTTAACTGCCTCGGTAGTGTAGTGGATAGCATGTACGACTACACACCCGGAGGTCCCGGATTCGAGTCCCGGGTCGGGCCAAGTTCAGTTATTGAGTCTTTCTGTTAAGTAAGACTCAGTAACATCCCGGAGTTGGAAGTGTAGAGTTGGGAAGTTGGCGGCGTTTCACCCCCGCAACTCGGGGAGCACGTAAAGCTGTCAGTCCTGCGCCTTAACTCTCACCGGCGTATGAGAGTGACAGGAATAGAGAGTGCACGTTGTGTCTGCGCGCACACTTGTGCACTATAGTATCTCCTGCGCAGTTGGCTAGTCTCAATGAGATTGGCCGCCGCGGCCGGAATCGGCTAGGAGAACAATATTATTCTTTAGACTATCTTCATTCCGAATTTCACTCATGTCCGTTATCCGTTGAGAATGAGATACAGGCAACGACTACTCTGGGCTGAGTAGTCGTTGGATTCAGGCTTACAGCACGAAGAAATAAAAACACTCTTCGGTACAAACTCTTGCATTTATAACAATTGCCATTATAAATGTTGAGAGAACAGTTATGTTATTATTGATTATCTGTGGGAGTGGACATAATATTATCTGTAAAATATCTATGGAAGTTAGTTATAAAAAGAGACGACTGGAGGAAGCTGTGAAATTAGATTTAGAGTTAATAATACTAAGAACATGTAACTATAGTTTATTAATACATATTAAACAAGTAAGAAATAGTTTTATTAACACATCTTAAAACATGGTGGCAGACGAAGCACAAACTTCCTCAGTCCGACAGCCCGATTCTGAAAGGAACCAACAACTCAAAATGGCGCCTCCGGGAACATTTAGTTTCGTGCCAGCAGAGTGGCCGAAGTATATAACTAGATTCAAAAGGTATATGAGCGTATCGGGAAATGAAGAATTAAGTGATAAAAGTAAAATAGATTTTCTGTTATACTCGATGGGAGATAAGGCAGAAGACATAATTATTCAATTTGATAAAAATTTAACTTATACAGAGTTACTTCAGAGTTTTGACAAATTTTTCTTTCCCAAGAAGAATGTAATTTACGAAAGATTCAAATTTAACTCAAGGGTACAAAAGGAAGGGGAAGATTTTGATCAATTTGTCACGGATTTGCATAAGTTAGCAGAGGGATGCGAGTATAACTTGTTAAAAGAAGAACTTATACGAGATAGAGTAGTGATTGGCATAAGGGATAGAAATATAAGTGACAGGATGCTCTTAAAAAATGACTTAAAGCTTGAGGAGGCTATTCAAATGGGAAAGCAAGCGGAAATACAAAAAAAAGAGAGTATGATTATAAGAGAAAATAAGGAAGAAAGTGAAATAAATAGGGTGAAAGTAGGAACAACAACAGCACAAAGAAACAACGAAGAACTACAATTAAAAGGAAATTGTTGGTTTTGTGGACAAAAAAGACATCCTAGGTGCAAATGTCCAGCATCAAATATAACATGCTTCAAGTGTCGAAAAACGGGGCATTTTGCTAGGTTGTGCAGAGCCAAGATAGTAAAAAATATTGAGAAGGAAGAAATAGGAACTACATATGAGGTTAGTTTCTGTGAGTCAAAACAAAAGTATTTAATAGACGTAGATGTTTTTCAAGAGGACCAGTTTATAAGTAAAGTAAAATTTCTTATTGATACAGGAGCAGACATAAGTGCTATACCAGACAATATTATAAAAGGATGTGGACTCTCTATAGTGAAAAGTGATGATGTGATCAAAGGACCAGATGGGACAAAATTAGTGGTTTTGGGAACTACTAATTTAAAGCTTAGGTATAAAGAAAATGTATATGAAGGTAAAGTTTATATTATAAAAAATTTAAGTAGAGCTATTTTAGGGAGACCTTCTATTGAAAATATGAATATACTTACTATAAGTGCTATCTCTCATTGTTTCAACTCTGATGATAATATAAGTGAAGTAATTGAAAAAGAATATCCCAATATATTTAATGAGTTAGGAGTATTTAAAGACGAATTCCATATCAAATTAGTTGCAAATCCAAAACCTTATGTACATGCTACACCTAGAAATGTATCAATTCCATTATTACCAAAAGTTAAAGCAGAACTAGATAGATTACAAAGACTTGGAATAATTAGTCCGATAGAAGAACCTACTGATTTTGTCTCACCAATTGTAGTAGTATTTAAAAATGATAAAGTTAGGATTTGTGGAGATTATACTGAAGTTAATAAAAGTATTTTAAGACCGGTTTACCCAATACCAAAGGTGGAAAATACATTAGCAAAGCTGAAGGGGGCTAAATATTTTTCTAAAATAGATGCTACCTCAGGGTTCCATCAAATCAAGCTAGACGAAGAGTCAAAGAAAATTACTACTATTATAACACCTTTTGGTAGGTATGTTTATAATCGTTTACCTTTTGGTCTAAATTGTGCACCAGAGTATTTTAGTATGAAATTTTCTAACTTATTCAAAGATTTAAAAGTAGCTATACATATGGATGATATTTTAGTATTTGAAGAAACTAAAGAAAAACATGATAGAATACTAAGGGAAGTACTAAATAGGTTACAAAATGAAGGATTAACAATTAACAGAAAAAAGTGTGCATTTAGAGTAAAAGAGGTGACATATTTAGGTCATTTAATAAATGAAAAGGGCATTAAAATTGATCCAGAAAGATTCAAAGCAATAAATGCATTTAAAGTACCAGAAAATAAAAAAGAGCTTCTTAGATTTCTCGGTATGGTTAATTTTGTAGGTAGATTTATACCAAATAAATCTCATTTATTAGAACCATTGCATATGTTATTAAAAGACAGTAATATGTTCATATGGAAAAAAACTCAAGATCAAGTTTTTAATCAAGTAAAAGAAAAACTTAAATCAGCACCAACTTTATCACATTATGATCCGAGTTTAAAGATCATTGTATCAGCTGACAGTAGTTCCTTCGGGTTAGGTGCTGCACTTATGCAAGAGAATAGGCAGGGCCAAAGGTCTGTAGTAATGTATTCTAGTAGAACTCTTACAGAAGCAGAAAAACACTATGCACAAATAGAAAAGGAATGCCTAGCTTTGGCATGGGCTACAGAAAAATTTAAAGATTATATTATAGGGATTCAGGTTATTTTAGAAACAGACCATAAACCACTCTTACAAATATTACAAACAAAACAATTAAATGACTTGAGTCCACGGTTATTGAGACTAAGACTAAAGTTAAGTAAATTTAACTATGAAATAAAATATACTCCTGGTAAAGACTTGGCAGTAGCAGATGCTTTATCACGACAACCTCTACCTAGTGAAAACACTAAAGAGTTTATAGATTCAGAATTAGAGTTAAATTTTTTTGTTAGTGAAACATTGTCATATGATACATTAAACAAGGTTAGGGTAGAACAAAATAATTGTGAAATATGCTGTAAATTAAAACAATTTATAATTCAAGGGTGGCCAAGCAAAAATAAATTAGGAATTTTTAAGGATTATTATCAATATAGAGAAAATTTTTCCATTGAATCAGAGCTACTTCTTTTTAATTCAAGGATTGTTATACCTAAACAAATGCAACAAGATATACTGAACAAAATTCATGAGGGTCATTTAGGAATTTCCAAATGTAGAGAGCGAGCAAAACAGTCAGTGTGGTGGTTAGGGTTGTCTAAAGAAATAGAAAACAAAGTAAAATCATGTACAAAATGCTTAGAACATTTAAAAAATCCTAAAGAAGAAATGATAATAGACTCATTACCAGATAGACCTTGGCAGAAAATAGGAATGGATTTATTTAAATTTAACGATAATTGGTATATAGTAATGATTGATTATTATTCGAGATTTCTAGAAATTGCCAAACTGACTGATATGACAGAAGAAACAGTAATAATTAAATGTAAGGAAGCATTTTCAAGATATGGCATTCCAGAGATTGTGAGAACGGATTGTGGAACACAATTTAGATCCAAGTTTAATGTATTTTCTAAAGAATATGGGTTTAAGTTAATTACAAGTAGTCCATATTATCCCCAAAGTAATGGTTTAGCAGAGTCAGGAGTTAAGATTGCAAAAACACTATTATCAAAGAATACAGATATATATTTGGCATTGCTAGTATATAGAAATACACCTTTGGAATTGGGTTATAGCCCGGCAGAACTTATGTTTAATCGTAAGCTCAGAGATGTTTTGCCTATAGTCCCAAATAAGTTAAATCAACCTGTAATAATACATAAACAATTTAAAAACAAACAGAAGGAAAGCAAGTACAAAAGTGCTTTTTATTACAATAAAAGGCATAGGGTCTCAAAATTATCAGAATTAAAGTTAAATGATAAAGTGTGGGTTTCCGATTTAAAGTGTTATGGAACTATTATAAAAAAATGTGATGAACCTAGGTCTTTTATTGTAAGTACCAGTAAAGGGAAATATAGACGAAATAGATGGCATCTGAATAAAGCAATTGATTGTAATCCATCGTATGGGGATTCAAGTTTTTTACATTTTGATGATGTTTGTAGTGGGGGTTATAATAATACTGAAGGTCAGTCATCGGGTGTTTCAGATCAAAATGAGATATTGATCAATACAGATATAGCAAGCTCGGCGGAGGATGAATCTATAAATAATAATGGAGAGCAAGTTCAAAGAAGATCTGAAAGACTTGTTAGACGACCTAGATATTTAGATGATTATGAGTGTTAAATTGTTTAAGAATGCTATAATTACACATATTCAAATCCTGTTAATTAAATTTTGTTATCTCAATCAATACTCATATATAATATATATGAGTATTGACTTCAATTGCAATTTTATGATTATGATTATATATTATATATTTTTCTTAATGTAAATTAAAAAGGGAAAGATGTTGAGAGAACAGTTATGTTATTATTGATTATCTGTGGGAGTGGACATAATATTATCTGTAAAATATCTATGGAAGTTAGTTATAAAAAGAGACGACTGGAGGAAGCTGTGAAATTAGATTTAGAGTTAATAATACTAAGAACATGTAACTATAGTTTATTAATACATATTAAACAAGTAAGAAATAGTTTTATTAACACATCTTAAAACAATAAATATATACGTTATTATAATATTTTAGGGAAAGAAGTCACATACAATCTGCCGAATAATTATTCACATGCATTTGAAGATTTGCTTAATGATCTTGAAAGGAATAAACAAAAAATAGAATTCATAAGCTACGGGCTAGTTGCTACAACTATGGAGGACGTTTTTATGTCGTAAGTATTACCTAGTATAGTATTACATGATCCGTGGTATTACTTACTATTAACTAACATGTGCCTGCGGCTTTGTCCACGTTTATTTTCAATATAGTTCACAAGCACTTCAACTTAATCTCTGTGTCACACTTAGAACGAAGTTCTTCTTGACATAAAAATATTAAAAAAAAACCTATAGATCGGATATTTCTATTACCTACACTTAAAACTTTGGAATATTTGATGAAACACACTATAGGAAGTATAAATATACTCGTACCTATAAGATTCTGATTATCAATATTTTTTTACATTTTTTATATTAGGTAAAGGGTATGTGTGCAAGTTATATTCTGAACTGAATTTTAAGTAAAAGTTTAAAAACAAATTAAATACATTCAAACGTTATTGTTATCTGTTCCTTGTATACAACAAATAATATCCTTACTAAAAGTGTGTAGTGCGTACTACTAACGATTTACGTTTTATGTAGAACAAGATTAAGTAGAAGTCGATGACTTACCTACTTTCCGTTATTATTTTAAAATTACAAACCCATTTGTTAGTCCGTTGGTATTACCTTGATAAGCAACATGATGTTTATATGGTATCTAAGTATTTATTATTTACGAGTACTTTACATCAGTGCTAGGTTAGTATAATAGTACTCATAATGAACAAATATAGGTAATTGTACATTTATACAAATATAAATATATTTAATTGTAATTATAATATAATCTTACTCATACATTTTGAATAAAACTATCTTTTCGGATTATTTCGTGGATTTATTTTGATTTTTGGTTCCCGACGTTTCGAATGCTTTACAGCAATCATGGTCATGGGAGAGACTGATTTATTTTGATTTTTGGGAACGAAAAATCAAAATAAATCCGCGAAATAATCCGAAAATACAGTTTTATTTAAAAATGTCAAATATTCGCGTAAATCTAAGAAAGTACATACTGATACATATATCATATCTAATTGTTTCTAGGGTAGGTTCAGATGTTGAATTAAGTTCAGAATCAGAGGATACAACAATAACAGCTGAATCTCAAGACAGAGATGCAAGTGTCGATAATTTATCTTTAGAAAACTGTAAGCTCTTTTTTCTTTATAACTCCAATTAACGTATCTCAATAAAAAATTTTGTTTTTCCTAATAACTAAGTACATCCTACGACTTAGTGTGCATTTTTAAGTTTAAAGTCGAAAAAAATGTCCATGAAAATTTTGCAGTTCTTTCCTAGTGTAGCCTTATTTTATAATTTTTGACCCACGGCGGAACGGAGACGGTATATGCGTTTGGGGTGAGAAGATGTTTGTTTGTTTGTTTGTTTGTTTGTTTGTTTGTTTGTTTGTTTGTTTTTTGTGCAAATACATGTTGCCATTTTTCTTCAAAAGTACTAGTCCGATTTTGATGCAGTTTTCAGTTATGGGTTCGGGTTTGATTGGTGCATGTTCTTAGATAGGTGTTAGTGAGACAACTCACCAGGGGGCGCTGCAGCAAACATTGTTTGTGCAAATCCATGTTGCCATTTTTCTTCAAAACTACTAGTCCGATTTTGATGCAGTTGCCAGTTTTGGGTTCGGGATTGATTGGCACATGTTCTTAGATAGGTGTTACGGTTACAACTCACCAGAGGACGCTGCAGTAAACATTTCTTTGTGAAAAACCAAAACTACTAGTCCGATTTTGATGCAGTTTTCAGTAATGGGCTTGTAGTTGATTAGTGAGGGTTCTTAAATAGGTGTTACGATAGTAGCTCACTAGGGGGCGCTCCATTAATATATTTTATTATATAGTAGCTACTACATAATAAGGAAACTCGATAGAACTCGAAGTAGTGATGTAGAAACTAAAAATAATTTAGAAAAAAATTTAAAACATACGTCGTACACGATTTAAGCGCAATGTAGGTATATGAGGCAAAAGACGAAGGTAACGTACATACATAATATCTATGGTCTCTAAAAAGTTTAAAATAAAAGGCAAAATTAAAAATTAAAAAAAAACCCACGACGCGAGACTGTTAAAAAGTAATTGAAAAAGGATAAAATAATTTAAAAACCCCCAACTTAAAAAATAAATGTAACGCGAGATAAACTCAAGCATATCCGTCGGGGGCTGCCATCACTATTTTAAATTTCATCGTAAATAAAAATAAGTATCATCATCAAATTCTAAAGGTCCTCACTGCAGGGGCAGGGCCGGCCTACTATTAAGGGTGTAAGTATAGCGCTAAAAAATCTCAAAATATTTACTTTACTATAAAACTGCAGAACTAGTTCATTTAATAGCAGCCCCTCACTAATATGCTTGAGCTTTAGAAGGGATGAGGTTAGTCAAGAATAAATAAGAGAAATCATCAGATGAATATCATCAGAGAAATATCAGAAATAAGATTATAAACATTAGATCATAAAATTACAAACAAGCTTTTTCATTTGTTAACATTTTTAATTGGCACTTTTTTACAGTGGATAAAAGTGACGAAAGTGAAACTGGGCTACGGCTATTATGGCTACACGCGAGTGGAGTATGGATGAAACTATTTTTAGTTTGGACGCGTTCGTGGGGGCGTTTGATACTGCAAGTTTTAGTGCCTATTCTACAAATAACCTTAAGTTTGGGCATATTGGAGTACCTAACGGCTACCAGCTCGCCGGCCACGCGACGGCCTTTAACTCTTACTGAAAGGTATTGTATTATGTATTTATTTGTTAATCAGTAGGCAATTTAAATATATTTAAATTTATAAGCAGCCAATATACTTTATGAATATTATATTATCACGATCGAGATAGTAGGCTTGAATAATGTAATCAATTACAATATAGACTTTTATTATCCACCTAATTTTACGTCATTTTAATATGTACATATGTTCCAGACATAATTTTTGTTTGATTGACTGATAAATAAATATATAAATGGTATATTATTTAATTACAAGATACTGTGTTTATTAGCAAATATAAGCACTAGACTAAAACGCACTCTTCTCTAGGTGATTGTTCGATAAAGGAAAGTAATTGTTATCATTGTTCAACTACGCGCAACGTCTTTGCACTCAATGTACTTAAATGGTACCTATTGACAATAATCAATAGCTATGGGTACGTCGTTCATATATTATTTATTTTTCAGATATTTAAGTACTGAAACACTTTTAAGTTTTAACGGTACTAATTCCTCATCATTGGGATCTTTGGCCAAAGAAAGCTACGAGATGATATTTAATTCAGCCAACATTGACTCCATGAAGCTAACATTAGTTGAGGGACAAAGTATTGAAGACTATTATTTAGAACGGGTTGGCATCTTATTATAATATACATATATAGTCAATTCCTCCACGAGCGCGGACACGCTGGCGTGTCAGTTAACAATTTAATTAATTTCAATTAATTTCTTAGAAATTTATCTGGAGGTGGTAATAAATAATAAAGTAATAAAATAAATATGGTCCTCACCGGCTTTTACAGTCTTGAGTGCATTGTCAATTGTTGAAATGAATGATGTACTTACTATACCTACGTATGACTGTTAATAGATTATTTCCAATTTTTAGACTTCAGATCCAGTAGTTTTGGGTGTCATTCGTAATAAACTGTTAACTGGAGCGACATTCGATGAGGGTTCAGCTACTGCTTGGTTCAGTAACTTCGGCTACCATGATGTGGCTAATTCACTTGCGGCTGTACATGCGGCTTTACTGAAGGCTGTTGACCCTTCAGTTATCTTTAAAGTATACAATCATCCACTGGAAGCCAACTATAATGACGATGTAAGACAATTTCATAACAGATCGTTATATTGGTGTATGTACATACATATATCAGTTGAAATGTCATTTAAATGTGTTCATTTTAAAATTATTTCCAGAATGATCTTCAAGTGATGGTGTCATTGGTATCGATGCAAGTCGCAGGAAGCATTGGCAACAGCTTGGCTATCGTCAGTGCAGTTTTCATCGTGTTTTATATAAAGGTAAGCATTTAGCAGATTGAACTGTTCGGTTAGGTATATCGGTTGAGAAAATTTCCATGTTTTTCTTTATCACCGATGCCGCGAACGCATATTTCGCATCTACGATTTCTTAGTTCAAAAAAGAAGAAAAGAAGAAAAGAGAGATTTATTATAACAGAAAAGAAAATTTAACGGCAGAGTTACTTATATTGTTACTTAGTTGTATGTTTTCCTTTCTTTGTGTGGGTACGAGTATATGTTATCTTCGAATATCTTCTATAGCACGATATATCTTCGATATCTAAAATGTTGACCGGTGATATAAGGTACCATCATGCAAAATTTCATTTGAATCGGTCCCAAAAGTTTCGGAGATTAGCCCGTATAATCAGACAAATATACAAACAGACAGAAACAAAAAAATTGAAAAGAATCTGGTTTTGTTCTATTTCCCTTCTTACATCCCCCTGACTCGGTTTTTTGCATTTTTTTTCTATGTACAGACATTCGACCTCTATAGTTCTATTATATGTATAGATTATGTAGCATTTTATTTTGATAATATTTAGGAGCGCGTAACGCGAGCTAAGCTGCTGCAGCGGGCCGCGGGCGCGCAGCCGGCGGTGCTGTGGGGCGCCGCCGCCGTGTACGACTGGCTCTGGTTCTGCGTACTTGCTGCTACCATTATCGCTTGCTGCGCGGCTTTCAGAATTATCGGCTTGTCTACCGTCACTGAGCTGGGTCATTCTAATATTTTCTTTTATTGTACTAATAGTACCTAGGCGACTGAGCTTCGCTAGGAGTCCTTTTTTATTATATCGTATTTTGTAGATGATGATCTATATAACTTAAAACTAAAAACTTGAATAAATACAAAAAAAAGTAAAAAGTTTGTGTCCGACCGGGATTCGAATCCGTATACCTGTTAGCGTCAACTTGACCACGATGCTTATGCTCGACCATATCTTGCGTGAAATAATGCGAATGGAAACCAAAAAAAAACTCGAAAACACGCGTTTCCCCAGACATAAAACTAATCTAGATCGATTTTTCGCCCGCGAAAACCCTCACATACCAAATTTCAGCGAAATCGTTAGAGCCGTCTCCAAGATCGCCGGTATATATAAATAAATGACTATACAATAATTGCTCGTTTATATACTACTTGTGTACAATAAAGAGTTTTTATTAGTATTATTATTACATTTATAATCAAAGTGTGAATTTAAAAAAGGAATTATATTTATTTTCTATAGTTTTGAGAACAATTATTATTACATATACAAATATAAATATATAACACTTATCCTCGCTTCGCTCTGGTGCGACTCCGCGTGTGTATCTAACGTTACTCCCGACTCCATGTTATTGTCTATGTGTGCACTAAACCTCATCCAAATGTGTCCGGCTGATTCACATATACAAACTTACGTATTTATAATAGTAATTCGATATTAATAGTATAATACAATTTGCAGGTCGTCTGTATTTATGTATAATAGTTTACGGCGCAGCAATGCTACCTCTACACTACCTTTTTTCACTTGTTTTCAATGGGCCTGCTCTTGGATTTGTTGTTATGTTTTTCGTCAATACACTTTTAGGTGAGTAATTTTTTGAATATAAATCGTAATTTTCAATGCCTGTACATTATACAGCATATCTGGTAAGTAGGTATAGGTTAATCTGGTATATCTGGATGTTTAATTTGCTCGCTCGCTAGAATCAAGCTAGAATCGCTAGAATTATTCTCGAGCTGAATACAGACTTCAAGTACCTATTAAATATAAGTATAATAATTGAATAAAAGTGGCTTGTTTATATTGTGTAATTGATCAATAAGTAAGCCTCCATTGATATAGATAATTTATAACAGTTGTATCTAAAACATCAATGTATTAGTAACAGAGCGAAATCTTCACATGAAATATTTTTTTAAATCAATGATAGATACGTATTGTATACAGAATATGTTATATGTGACCCAAAAAGAATATTAATTGAAATTTTTGTCAGTTTGTATGTATATCTGTGTGTATTTCATTCAAAATGTAATGAACAATATTATGTTAATATGACAACTTATTACGCGGATCAATCAACATTTAGAAAAACTTTTACTACAGGAAAGTCTTTTATTTCAACACAATAATAGTTTGGTTCTGTCTAGTCGTCCTTAAATTTAAGCTAAGTGGCTAGATTCTATAAATTTGAAAATATTGTTTGTTTGAATGCTTTCTCTGTCTTTTTGAATTTTAAAGCCTATTTATTGAGGAAGTTTCTAGGTTCGAACTTCACACTACGACCCTTACGAGCGGCGCATAAATAAACTATGCAAATAAACACGCAGTAAAAAACTAGTATAATCATAATTTAAGCAGTTTTACCATTTCGTCGTATCTATCACAGGCTTAATGGGTGCTCAAATTGTGGAAGCCTTGTCTTTACCCAACATGAACACGGGCGAGGCGGCCAGAATTATGGACAACATCTTGCCATTTTTCCCACTCTACAGTTTGGTTACGTCAACAAGGTAAAAGTAGAGATTAGTCTTAAATAAAAATCTTTATGTTTATTTTCATTAAAGTCATGATTAGAATCATTACATTTATAAATCAGTTACCCCATAGATATGTAAATTAATTTCAAACAAAATAACCCCGATTATTTAAATAAAAAGATATTATTTTTCTTTCACTTATCACTATAAAATTAAAGCCTGTTTTTTTTTCGTAGAAAAATGAATCAAGTTGGTCTAAGAGTTCATTCTTGTCTTCAATATTGCGACTACGTGGTTTCGCTTCATCCAGAAGTAGAAGAGTGTACCATGGAAGCCTTATGTGAACATTTTTCAAAAAATTGCTGCAGTAAATATGTTTTTCTTTTTAATTTATTTCATACTAGATTTAAGACGTAGATAAAACGTAATTTATAAACTTGGTAGTGTGCTTAGATGTAGACTCGTAGCAGTCGTAGCATCTATGTAGGTACCTATCCACTTTTTGCGTAGCGATGTCCCGCGCGTGGTTATACGTAGGTATATAACAATGTTGCTTTGTAATTCTAGTATAATAATAATTAACAATAGGTAAGCTTAAAGTTAAGTAAAAACGTTTTTTAATTTTATTACACTCTTTTAGTTCGTGAGAACCCATACTTCGACTGGGAGGATCCCGGAGTTTTACGATACCTTATCTGTACTCTTGCATCCTGTGTAATTTTCTGGATAATATTGATGATTATAGAGTACAATTGGTTGCAGAGGGTAAGTTGATGATTATTCATTTTATACTTTTTATTTCTTACTACATAAAGGCACTAAAATGACATTGCTGAAAGTACCTCCCGGTATATTAAAAAAGTAACAATTATTTGTGTCTATCTTTTATGTTATTTTCGCAGGTTTTTGCTCGTAGCAGAAAGACAGTTGAACAGGATGAGTCCACAATGGATCCGGATGTATTGGACGAGGCTAAACACGCCAAACACGTCGACCAAAACTCTCGCGAAGTGGCACTCGTTGCGCGCGGCCTTACCAAGTATTATAAGAATCATCTCGCTGTCGATCAAATATCTTTTAGTAAGTATTTTAGTTTTTAAGTTACATATAATGTGTAATATTTTATAAATATTATTTTATAAAGAAGGTAGTAAGGAGTATATTACTATATATAAAGAAGGTAGTAGTAAGAAGAAAATACAACTAGGTACCTACTATTAAAATAATACTGTTTTAGCTGTAGGTGAAGCAGAATGCTTTGGTCTGCTAGGAGTAAATGGAGCCGGAAAGACTACTACGTTTAAAATGTTAATGGGAGATGAAACTATATCGAGCGGAGATGCATTTGTCAGTGGTTTATCTGTCAAAAAAGATCTCACTAAAGTTCATCAAAACATTGGTAAGATTTAAGTAGCAATAAAAAAAAATGATGCGTTAGATTTATAAAAGTTAAATGGAAAATTGTTCAAAGAACTTCTTTAAAAATTATATTTACCTATTTAATTTAGGTTACTGTCCTCAATTCGATGCGGTGTTTGATGAACTGACAGGGCGGGAAACATTGTATCTTTTCTCAAGATTTCGAGGTCTGAAATATTCTCATTCTTCGGTACGGGCACACATCCTGGCCGATGCTTTGGGCTTTACAAAACACCTCGATAAAAAAGTGAGTATTAATTTAGTTTAAAATATCGGAAAAGCAAAAATTAGACAATGTTATTTTTTATATATATTTAGGTTGATTCGATTACGATACGTTTGTGAACGCGATTTTAGATTTATTAACCAAATAGGTAAACTTACTACCTACTTACTGATCAAAAACCAATGCATGTACTTTATATCAATAAAATGAAATACTGTTCGTTGGTATATATTATATATGTATGTATAATGTAATATATCACTTGAGAACGGCTGGATCTATAAGCCTTTTTTTTCAAATAAGTTTTTAGGGCAAAAATTAGAATAGTTGCCCGAAAAATTGCAAAGAAAAAATTGAAGGTAATCTTTGATTTAGAACTATATGTAGGAGCGCAAAGCTTACGAAAAACTGTATTTAAATTTGGGTAACGTCTGTCAAATTGTATTCACTAAAATAATAATGCAATTTCTATGTAAATTCCCAAATTAACTTCTATACATAGACCCCATCTGCCGTGGTATTATTATTACGCTAGAACTTGCCACCTCTGTTTTCGTACCTACAAGCTATAAGTGAAATTTATAAATCGTAAGTCACTTTAAATATTGTGAGTGTACATAATACATATTTTATTAACTAACTGCATATAGGTATGTCAATATTCTGGAGGAAACAAAAGAAAGTTGAGTACAGCGGTGGCCATGTTGGGTCGGACGCGGCTCATGTTCGTGGACGAGCCGACCACGGGCGTGGACCCCGCCGCCAAGCGCCAGGTGTGGCGCGCCGTGCGCGCCGCGCGCCGCGCCGGCCGCGCGCTCGTGCTCACCTCGCACAGCATGGAGGAGTGCGAGGCGCTGTGCTCGCGCCTCACCGTCATGGTCAACGGCCGCTTCCAGTGCATCGGCACTCCGCAACACCTCAAGAATAAATATTCCCAAGGTCATTTTTATGTTAGCACTTGTAGTTGTATTGTGGGCTGTCGAGCGGTAGGATTCAGTGCTCATTATGACATATTTGATATCTCAGTTGGATCTGCATCAAAGCTTTATATATAATACTTTTCCTCAGACTCAGTTTGTAGATAATGTCGGCAGTATTAATAACTATAACTTTATTAACTATTCCATTTATAATCGGTTAAAGTTTTTTTTAATTTTACGTTTTTATATCTAGTTTTTTTTATGGATATGTTATTGGATCCATATGCTCTACGCGCATCGAGACCATGTTCACGTCACACGTGTCGATCGTGTAGTGCATGATATTGAATATAACTTATTGTATTCATACTTTCTAAGATTTACACGAATATTTTACATTTTAAATAAAATTATTTTTTCGCAGTTTTATTTAATATAATTAGTTGGTTGCCTAGAGCGCAGAAAGTGATCGCAGGATATTTTATTCATTGTAAAATGTAAATCGATTCATCTTTTGATATATTGTATTTCTTACAGGTTTCACGTTAACTATTAAAATTAAGACAGGCGAAAATGCAGACAGAAGTTCAATTACGTCTGAGAGTAAAGCCGAAGCAGTAAAGAATTATGTTGCCACTCATTATAATAATGCAAAAATAGTGTAAGTACCTCATCAAGTTAATTATATTAAAATATTCCTCCCCGATGTGTGTTAACCTTGTGCGTGGCAGAGGCGGGGCTGGGGGGTTCATTCGCGTCCGGCAATCCAGCCGGGCGTGAAGCCAAGAGAAATACTGGGAGTTGGCTCACTTCGGTGGACGGTGTACGAAACTGGTTGCTTCTGGTACTTCTCTAACAGCAGAGATCCTGCGACGCCCCATTAACACGGGGGAGGTTACGTTGGGTTTTAGTGGGTAGTACTGGCTTTTCTGGCCGGTGAGTACCACATACCGACTTGTATGTATACAGGTACAGGTACCTAAAAGTATGCTTAAATGCATTTCCAAACAATAAAAAAAATATAATATTATATAATCGTTTTACGGAATTCAATTGAAACGTGTCTACTTACTTGTTGTTTGTCTTCTAAATGATTTATTTGATCTAATGTCATATTATTTTTTATTAAGGGAGGAGTACCAAGGAATCATTACATACTATCTGCCGGACCGGAGCATGCCGTGGTCGAAAATGTTCGGAATAATAGAGAAAGCAAAGAGAGAATTGGACGTCGAAGATTACAGTATACTGCAAACAACTTTAGAACAGATTTTCTTACAGTTTACTAAATATCAAAAGGAGGGGCGGTAGTAATTAATAAGAAGTGTGGAACGAGGTTTTATAATAACTACTAGCGGACCCGACAGACGTTGTCCTGTCTACACGTCTTTAATTTGAAAATTTCAAACTTTTTTTAATAAGCTAAAACATTCTGGACCATTTTGATGAAAATTATTATTCAAATTGTGAATCTAAACCATTCTCAGATCCCCTTGAACACACACAAAAAATTTCATCAAAATCGGTCCAGTCGTTTGAGAGAAGTTCAGTGACATACACACTCACAGAAGAATTATATATATAAAGATATGTACGCATTTTTATTGCAATTTCACTTAGAAACCTCTCTAAAAGGTAGATACATAATAAATAAAAGTAGCATTAAGATATTTATTTCAGATTTAGTTTAATTATAATTATGTAGATAGCCTCGTTTTGTTGTGATATACGTACTACGCATTCGTTGGACAAATATAACACAAGTAAAAAATGTATTGTTGTTAAGTCGGTCAGGATATTTAGTTTTTATATGTTTGTTTGTTCAGCCCTTTTTAACGTCTCACTGCTGGGCACGGGCCTCCCTTCAGTACGAGGGGAATCAGGCCGTAGTCCACCACGCTGGCCAAGTGCGGGTTGGCGGACTTCACACATCTTTGACGACACGTTTGGCTCAGTTGGTAGTGACCCTACTTGCTGTGCCAGCTGTCGCGGGTTCGAGTCCCGGTGGGGGCATTCATTTGTGTGATGAGCACGAATGTTAGTACTCCAGTTATGGGTGTTTATATTTATAATATGTATGTATTTAAAGTTCTATATATGTGTAGTGTATCAACTATCTGGTATCCATAACACAAGCCTCGTAGCTTATTATGGTACTAGATGGCGCTGTGTGTTAATGTCCCAACATTTATTATTATTATTATTATCTTTTGAAAACTTGCTAGGTTCTCTCAGACATGCAGGTTTCCTCACGATGTTTTCCTTCACCGTTAAGACAAGTGGTATTCATGTTGGAAATAATTCGCACATGAAAATATCAGAGGTGCGAGACCCGGGATTTGAACTCGCTTCACTCGGTTTCCCAAGCGAGCGCGTTACCACTGGGCTGCCACTGCCTATATGTTTGTAGATACATATTATAGGTTTTTTAAGTTATTTTGTACGAGATTATATTTTGAGATTATATTATTATAAGCTAATCGGCGCCATCTTTGTACATTGGTACCTATCTACAAATTACAATATAATGCTTTATACGAGTATTAGTCAAATGTAGGTCGCACACTAAATGTCCTTGACGTCATACATTTGTATATTTGCAATGCGATATTTATCTTATTTATATAACATAAATAAGAAGAAAATAGGTACAGGGTTAAGGATATAAAGATTTTTCAAGTGTGAATAGCGAAATATGCTCTAAACTAAAGATCTCGTAGTCATTTTGTTAAAAATGTAGGTCGCTATTCGATTTCAATAAAAAAACTAAATAGTTTCTAGTTACCACTTACTTGGACTCAAATGAACAACTGGTATTAAAATTTATAACAGCTTCTCCATTCTTCGTGACATTGGCAAAGTAATCTGTGGTCAACGGTACTGGTACGTTTACAAGCCATTAGAGAGCCACAAAAGAATTTTATCAAAATCGACTTCGAATATGCTATTTCTCTTAGTTTCGGATTATAAAGAAAAAATCTATATATTCATTTCTTCTTGGAAAAGCACTATCATATCTATCTTCATATCATAGCTATCTTTAGAGGTGCTGATAGAAACTGGTATTATTTACATTTATAGTAATAGTTAAATTTATATAGAAATACATTGTGATATAAGTATATAAAATTATAGAGTAAGTCTATGAAAACTGCGCACGAAAAATGTAATAAACAAAAAATATGTTAAGATTTTTAAGTTTCTTTTTTTTTTGTAATAGTTATTTTAATTTTAATCATGACATTGCGTTTTGAATAGGTAGTTTTAAGTAATTAGACACGAACGAACGAAAGTTTTTTTGTTATTATTGTATGTATAATTATTTACTATTTGAATGGAAGCGAAATAAAAGAAATTATTTATTTTGAAATATTCAATTTATTTAAAAAAATTGTAAACCTACTTCCAGTACATGCGAACACTTTCATAAAAAGGACAAGTGAGACAAGACATCAAAAGCCTTAATATAATTTTGCTCCGTATGGTGACTGTCTTATCAATAAGGATAAATATATAAATATTAAATTTTAAAATTAAAAAATATTTATTTGTTATTTATAAATAGCTTTTGCAACTGCTTCTGAAAATAACATTACAATTTGTGTCGACTTCGCCGATAGTCGTAGGAACATAATTTTTTCTTAAAAAATATAAATTATTGAATATATTTTTCTCACTTAAAACTTAATAATGGATCACAAAATGATATCACAAAATTATAGCATCTTCAAAACAATGCCTAAATCCTGTTTTATATATTAATTAATTATTATTATCAATAATTGCATATATGGGTACATACTTTTGTTAAGAAGACGATCTAAATACATATATGTAAATAATTAAACATAACAAAAATCAAAATGGCTAAGATGTAAAATCACTTTTATATACTCCAAATAATGATCTACAACTTTACGTCAAAAACACTTTCGTAGTACTGTAAAAATTGTAGTTGTGTGTTGTTTGGATGTGTTGAATATATATATAACATTAAAAAATCATTAATTCTCAATATTATATAATTTTAATTTGTAATTTCATAATACTTGTATATAAAACTAACCCGTGTTGCAAAAATACTGATGTAATTCAGGTCGAAAATTTTGCAGTATCAATTTTTATTGTGGTAGTGCATTTACCAAAATTCTCACTACTAATGGTTAATACTACTCACATAAATGTTACATTTATTTAATTCAAGAAATTAATTTATATATATAATAATTTATTTTATTTAAAATAAAATTTACTGGCAATAAGTACGATTCTGGCTCCTGCGACAGTGACAACGGTCCATTAACTTACACAGTTATATTACGATTTGAATGAAAAACTAATAGGATCTCATCAAAAGCGACAAAAGGCACATAGAAACCAATCAATATTTATATTTTATTGGCTTTTGTGGCTTTTGTAGCTTTTGATGATGATACTTTAACATGTTTACTTTAAGATTTATGGACCGTTGATCTATTATAACCTTTGTTATTGTGACGAAAAACGGGATATTTACCATGTTTATCACTTATTTTTGAGAGTTCCCCATATTATATACCTGTGACCATGGCGCTTGTAACAGTGACGAAATATCGGGTACTCTCAAAAGTAAGTGATAAATATGGTAAATATTACGTGTTCATCACAATAATATAGTCAGCGACCATGAATTAAAGATTTATAATATAATCTTTAATGATAACGCATAGCTTAAGCGGAAGTTAAGAAACATGAAATTTGCACAAGAGTTCTTTATAAAACCTTCTAAGCTAAATAGAAAATAAAATTTTATAACACACATTATTGTTTAAATTTTAAGATGTGTAGACACCGCTTAGAACTGGGTTTGTATAATATTTGCGAACGATGCTATTGGTCTAAGATCCCAGTATAAGACGACCTTCATGGAGCTGGTTAATGGATAAAAAGCCTTTCTTGAGAAAGCGCGCTGCGACCGTTATGAGCAAACCAATTATTTACAAAAGTTTTTAAATTTACAAATTATTCAGCAACCGAGTCATCAGACATAAAATTGTGATTTCCAATTTCAGAACATTCTTCGTCATCGCTTTCTGTTTAAGTTCTTTCCACAACGTCTTCTATCCTGAAAGGTGTTTGATCCTCAATAAACCTAAGTGTTTTTAAATATTCATCTAAGTACCAGTCTAATCTTTATTTTAACTTTAATTCATTAACCAGACCAGTGCAAGTTACAAGTATCGATTTACCTGTTTATATCTGCCTACCCAACCTAACGTTTGCATATTCTATAGGTTTCATACTTTCGATTGGTATGGAATTTGTGTATTAACCAAACCAGTTAAATATTGAAAAAATAATATTTTTTAAATTGTTAATTAATCATATACTGAACTGAAATTTTTTAGTCAACCAATTTCGAATATATCTATTGACATAATTAATTTGATATAAAATACTTTTCATCCATTAACCAGCTCGGTGAAGGTCGTCTTATACTGGGATCCTATACTATATTTAGATATATACGTTATTGTTTCGTTAATAATATTGAATATTTCCTATAATACCAATATTGTAATAAAGAATTGAATATTTATAATTAAGTCAAATCAGATGCACAACGAGAACTCGTTATAGCCACAGAGTTTATAAATTATGTCAACAAAGTCATCAGTTTCGTCAGCGCTCCTTAAATTATTATGCATATTGTAAAAAAAACTAGCTTAGCTAGATTTGTGACTAAGTACGTATAAGCACATAGAAATTCTAATGTACAATTATATATTATTGTTAGTTAAGTAAATTATATTCTTTGTACCTATTGCACTACACTTTCAGTCTTCGAAAGTAAGTCGACCGCCATATATCAAACTGCAGTATATTGAACACGATGAGTATTTAAGATCGTCTTTGAGACATTGGTTTGATTGTTTTTATACTTCAGTGAAATGCTTTAAGTACTAAAATAGAGCAAAAATATACTAGCTCGATACGCTAGATACCTATCATGTACGTATTATAAACACGGTTACAACTTAAATGTAAAGTACACGTCTAAACATTTAATACACATATCAAATACTGCTTATTCGAATTTAATCGTATTAAACTGCTAAACACTAATACGGTACACACTTCCATAAAGAAATTGCACACTTAGTCAAGAACAGGTAGTTACTGCTTGTAAATAATTTTTACATTAAAATACAAGCAAACCGTTCTCTGTTTTTCTTGAAGTAGCGAAAAAATACAATTACAAAAAAAATATGGCCGCAGCAACTTGAAATAAATATTAAATAGCAAGTAAAAAAAATAATCAAAAATTTTCTAGCTACTTGTAAATATTCCGAGTACGGTCTCACATTCAAGTATCTATTGTCACATCTAATACATGTAGAAGTTATTAATGATAACGAACACTTGAAACAAAAATTACAACGAAATGACGTACAAGTCGTACGTGTGATAGTGCAGATGGCACTAATCAGACTGGCCTTGAATTCTCGTGAAGCGTAGGAACACTTGTTCTAACGTAGTCTGCGACACCGAGTAGTCCTCTATGGCGTAGAGCTTGCGCGCTTCCTCCATTAGATGGAACACGGCCGACCACGGCAAGGTCTGGTCGGCTAAGTAGTAAGTGCTTATGCCCAAGTAGGTTTCTCTGTAAAATATGTATTTTTTTAATTATATATATATATATATATATATAACGTTAGGTAAATCGCATATTTAGGTGAAATACTTACATAAGCTTAGTGTCTCTAAACTTTTCAAGGACATATTGGTTTATTTTTTCTACGGTCGAGTCTCTGTCTGGTCCCGCCTTACATTTAACTATTAACGTGTATCCTACGAACAAAAAAAATGAATAAATATATTTTCAATATTTATTTAGTGTTAATGTGTATATAAGGCAGTGGTAGCCCAGTGATGGCGCGCTCGCTTGAGAAACCGAGTGAAGCGGATTCAAGTTCCGGGTCTCGCACCTTTGATATTTCCATGTGCGAATTATTTCCAACATTATTACCACTTGTCTTACGATGAAGGAAAACAACTGAGAGAATCTAAGAATATCTGAGAGAATCTAGAAAGTTTTCAAAAGACATGTGAAGTCCGCCAACCCGCATTTGGCCAACGTGGTGGACTATGATCCCCTCGCATTAAAGGGAGGCCCGTGCCCAGCTGTGGGATGTTAATAAAAGGGCTGAATACGAATGTGTTTATGTGTATTATATTATTGGAAAAAAGATCCCGCTAGTGGGATATTTTTTACATTAAAAAACAAATATTGTTTGTGTCTACAAACGGCACATTCTTACTATCATTGTTCAGATCGACCTTATTCGACTTTGGCCTATAACAAGGATTTAATCTTGTTCCTACGATAGTTCAAAAATAAAGTGATTACACTTCTACTACTTAACCACTTCACTTCTACCTACTTAATGTTTCAGAGTGAGTCAAGTAAAATCCCCTTTTTGAATCGCCTATTATTTATAATATACGATTTATCATTGTTTATTTACAGCATGCTTAGAAGATAAGTAAATATAACAGTGAATCATATATTTTAAATAAAACTATCTTTTCGGATTAATATTATTAAGCTATTGCATAACTTCTATCGCGGGCCTTGAGCGTGGGGACCGAATCCAGAAATTCCGTAACGAAAAAAACCTAACACCCCCCCACTCAGATTTGACATCTGTTTCGGTAAGAAGTAACACATTTGCTTGCCTCGTAACTGAATCTTGTAAATCGTATTTGTGACTATTTAGACTTTGGCAGTTGAAAGTAATTATTGAAATGCCATTTCTATTACTAATGAAATCTAATACACTTTGAGCTATCGTCTGAACACTATTTAGAGACAGTCTTTTAAATTCTTGCAACAAAGATGCAGTCGATGCAGCTTGCTTTCGAAAATATTGAATTTGAAAATGAATAATGATCCACAAGAATCCACAACAAAATATGGAACCACCATTGACGCGGTATTTTCCAGATATTTAGAAGATATCAAGTCTCAAACTTATGTTTCTTATTTCAGTTACCATAAACCTATAGTTTCAATGATAAATATTCCTGAAGAACCGACATGTATTGAAAGATAATAAAAATATTTTGAACAATATTAACATCTCATTTATTTAATAAAAGAAAAGAAATGTTATTTTATCGGTCACCACGCTCAAAGTGTAACTTGAAATAATATCAAAGAAAAAAAAAGAAAGGAAAAAATACTGCATTAATAAAATAAATAAATAATTATAATTGCATAAGTTGATAAAAAATGCTATCCAATAGCTTTACTGCGGCAGTCTCCGAGTGCCACACGTCTTTTTTAGGTTAAGTTATTTAGATTAAGGTTTTAGACATCTTAGAAGCGTTATATACTTGTTACAGAGAGTGCCTACCCACAATTTTACAAAAATGATTTCAAAAATTCAAATATAGCACCAGAGTACCTTACAATATTTGTTGATTTTAATTCTAACCATTTTAATATTTTTTTGACCGTGATTTCTGTAAAGCATTCGAACCAAAAATCAAAATAAATCCGCGAAATAATAAGAAAAGATAGTTTTATTAAATGTTAAATATAAATCGTAAATCTAAGAAAGTATCAAGTGAATCATATAGTTACATTTAATTAATACGACACAAATATTTTAACTAAAAAAATGTTCTTTTGTAATATTATGTTTTGTGTTATAAGTCACAATTTTGTGTTTGAAAAAATGTATTATATTCGAATTAAATCAGCGACTACCCAACATTCGTAGTGCGTTCGTTTAGAGTATCAAGTGAAAAATGTGGGCTCCTAAAATTTTTTTTTCATATTTCATTTTCAACACGAATACCACTTGGAAAGGAAATTATCGCGAGGAAACCAGAAGGTTTGAGAAAACCTAACTTGGACGTGTAAAGTCCATCAATATGCTTTTTACCGACAGATGAAGATTGATCTGTTGAAAGATTTTGACTTCGTCTTTAGCGGTCACTATCGGCTTTAAAAAAAAATGTGTGTGTTTACTTATGTACGCACGCAAGAAGTTATACTTTTTCGGCGTAACAGAACAAAAATACATTGCCGGTCAAACGACAACACTTTTTATCGCGGAAAAATGAACCGTTCCCGTGGGATAGATGTGTTTGCGTTTTCTAGAGGCGAACCCGAACGAGGAGAGGGTGAGCCGCTAGTAAAAATAACAATAAAGAGAAAAGACAAGCCAATAAAGACTGCGGTAGAGGAATGTTTGTCTACCTTGCGAGAAGTTGTTCTTCAAGTGCTGCGGCGGGCCCAGGCAGCAGAGGCGGCCGTTGACCATGACGGTGAGGCGCGCGCACAGCGCCTCGCACTCCTCCATGCTGTGCGACGACAGCACGGCGCCGCGCCCGCCGCGCGCCGCCGCCGCCACGCACGCCCACACGCGCCGCTTCGACGCCGGGTCCATGCCTCATGTGCAAACATACTTCTTTGGAATTGTTATCATTTAAACTCGACGAAACGAAAATGCATCACGACAAAGACTTTCATATTAGAATAAAGAGTTTTCTATTTATTTTTTAACCTACCATACTTTTTTTGTTGAATAGTACCAAGCTTACGAGTGAAAATTCTGACACTGACAAGGACAAGACTGGTGTAAGGTTACTAATACTGAAAGTGGTATTGATATCGATACAGAGGAAGAATAAATTTTTATTTAATTGATTCATTACTTAATTCGATTTGTAATTTTAGTAAAATGTAAGAAATTAGAAAACGTACCTCAATAAAACATTAAATTTTCTATAGATTAAAAAAAACACAAAAACCAAAGTTGGAAAAACAATTCCACTAAATTTTTTCATGTTTTTTTTTTTTCAACATAGTCAGAAAAAAAACAATGTCTTTTTTCATGTTACATGACTACATATACCTGCCCGCAATCAACCAAACCATCGCTTAACTACTCTCTTTCTTTCTCTCTCTTTGTCTACTGCATTTATACAAACACACATGACACAATTATTTTTTTAACTTTTATCTTTACCTAACAATAGTTATGTGGTAATTTTCAAGAACATTGAAAGAAAAGAAAATCTTCAGCGAAGCCCTATTCTAATGTAAGTTGTACCGAACTAACTATTTTTTCAAGTGCCATAAAAATATTATATTATTTTCTCTTTAATATTTTTATTTATTACACTGAAAACTTATAAACAGGCAGTATAGTTTTTAATGTTTTTAAAATATTATAAGCAAAATATACCTGTAGTTGGTTCATCGAGAAATATTAAAGGAGAATCGCCGAGAAGTGCTACAGCTGTACTGATTTTTCGTTTAGTACCGCCACTGCATTCATGTATCTATATAGCAATAATTCGAGTATGTTAGACGGATAGTGCAATAATTTTATTAATTATAATTATATACAAATATATGTTTACCTTTTTATCAAAATGCCTCATGAAACCCAAACTGTTAGCGAGCTGTATCGCTCTCGCTAATCCTACTTTTACCGGTATTCCTCGCAGGAGACAAAATATTTTTAGTGTTTCTCTGGCAGTTAAATTTTCTAACAATGCGTCAAATTGTGGACAATATCCTGTAAAAATAATAATAAATTATATACCTTAGAGTATTTGTTCATTTTAGGTTAAATTGCTAGTGGAAATACGCTAAAATCTTTTTTCACTGTATTTTCATTTTTTTTTATCTTGGAAGAGTTTTTCCACATTATTAATGTCATTATGAATTCGACCATTGACTCGTCGTATTAAAAATAAGTTATGATAAGTATAACATTTAAAATACTGATTCAAATCTCAAAAAATCCATATAATCTAAAAATCGCTTTTTGAGTGACTACCCTATTGTCATAGAAATATCGTTCTCCTCTTCATACATTTATAGATGAGGTCCTGGGTTCAAGGTTAGGTTTAGAAAGTCTCAGTAACAACCCGGAGTAGAGAAGTTGATGGCGTTTCACCCTGTTTTTAATGTCGTCGGTCGTGCGCTTGATCTTTCGTGTCGAATTGTCGTCCCATCAGAGTATAATTTGAGAATGTTTGAAAACGGTGTGTCTGCGCGTACACTTGTGCACTATAATAACTCCTGCGCAGTTGGCTAGTCTCAGCGAAGTTAGCCGCCGTTTTTGAAATCAGTTAGGAGGATATCATAGGTTCCCAAGTGTAGTGTTCAGTAGCACTTACCTAACCCCCCCAATGTGCGTTCACCTTGTCGTAGTGGGGAGACTCAGTAGTGCCCGGCAATCCAGCCGGCCGCGAAGTCAAGAAACGCACAGGGAGGTGGATCACCTCGGTGGGCAGTGTGCTATGTGGGTTGCTTCTGGTACTTCTCAGATAGCAGAGTGGACTGTGGAGCAACCCCATGGTTGTTGTGGTCTGCTTCGGCAGACCTGCTGGGGGGTCGTGGTTGAATGCGTAAGCGATCTTGCGACGTCCTATTAAGACGGGGGAGGTTCCGTTGGGTTTTAGTGGGTAGTACTGGCTTTGCCGGTGAGTTACACACTTCGTGCCTAAATGTATTTCTCAACGTTAAAAAAATAGTACTTACCTATGAGGCGGTGCACGTCGCGCACGTGCGTCTTGATGGAGTGTCCGTGCACGAAGGCGTCGCCGGCGCTGATGCGCGCGTCGCCCGTCAGCATGCGGAACGTGCTGGTCTTGCCCGCGCCGTTGATGCCGAGTAGCCCGAAGCACTCGCCTTTGCGGATCACTGATACATGTTGTGAATATTTTAATATCAATAAATATAAAATAATAAAATTTATTTAAAAAACATTTTCAAAATAAGTAGAAATACGTTATTTCGGTTATCGTTGAGGCATTAATTTATTATTAAAGAGAAGTCGATTAACCTACACGAAAAAGACCAAACCCTCAAATTAAACATTCCTTTTTAGAAATTCAAAATATAATAATATAATCCGACTACTATTAAACATATAGAGACCTTCATAGTCTGTAACCCGTAGTAACAGATGAGCTACCGTTACGCACGTAGTTTTAAAATAAAGTCAAATAAAGCATTTTTAACTAAAACGGAACGCAAAAATGAAGAAGGGCACTCACTCAAGTTCAGGCCGTCGACGGCGCAGAAGTCCTTGTAGTACTTGCAGAGGTCGCGGCACACGAGGCTGTAGGCGGCGAGCGCGGCGCGCGGCAGCGCCCGCACGGCGGCGCGCTCGCCGCGCACGTCCGCGTCCTCCACCTCCCCCTCGCCCGCGCGCGCCGCCGGCCGCGCGCCGTCCGGGTAGAACACCTGTAATGCTATTCTGTGAGGCCCTTCTCTCCCATTACGGAACACGTAGGATACAATACTCGAGTCGCATACTAGCCGAATACTCGTTGGCAACTCGACGTTCGCACATTACGCTACTGAATAATAACAAAATGCATCATTTGTTTTGTACTCTTTTAATGGACGGACGAAATTTTCGAGATGCATAGGGGCCGCGACGCGCGGGCCGCGGACGCGCACGACCGGTAGCGTAGAGTGCGAGCACCGATACGAATGTATGTGCGATACTCCGCAACGTTTAGTCTGCGGGACTCGCGAGATACTGGAGTCGCATGCGCGTGTCGTAATCGGAGAAGGGCCTGAGACCATCCTGTATCTCGACAGCCGAATCCGCAAATACACTACAAGAAGTTATATGAATTATAATCGATATAAAATTCTAACCTTGTTTAAAACTTCATACTCCTTCAGAAGCAATACTGTAAATCCAATAATTCCAACGAGGCTCATCATAAATAAGTATCTGCCGATACCGGGTTCACTCCATTTTAGATAGGGGCTGTCGTCCACTGTGCAAAAAAATAAAACTATAATTCAACATGTTATTCGGATTTGTTCTAAATTTTTGATATCATAATTTTCTTTTTCTAACTTAAGAGTCTTCTTCTTTTACCTTAAGAGATAGACATAAAACGCTATTGTGAACTTTTCTATGGCCTTTTTAAGAGCTATAATTATCTAGTACATTATTTTGATGTATCGCTTAAGGTTTAGCCACTAAGCCAGCATTGGCCATGAACATTTCTAAGGACGACTCGACAGAATCGGTTATTGTGTTTAGAAAGATTTAACGAATGATTTTCCTGTAGTACCTTTTACTACAGGAAAATTTTTCGTTACATCTTTCAAACCTATCCTACGAGTAAATACTGACCCGTTGTAATAAGCTACATGAAATTTACTTAAAATCAATTCAGTACTTTTTGCGTGAAATGCACACAGATATACAGACAGACTAAAAACTTAATAACTATTGTTTCGGGGTTTAAATTCGGCACTCAATACGTTACAGTCATTTAAAAAATATTTCATGTACAGATTTCGCTTTGTTTACTATTTTATTATGTGTATAAATTACGTGGGTTACACTTATGTCCTATGGCAAAACTTAATATGTGTCATCTGCATTTCGTTAAATTTTCATTTAATAAATAATATATTGATTGTAAAATATACTTACTAACACCTAAACTTTGTGTATTAGTAATGTATTCATATAACTATAATTTTATAGTGGATATTACAAAGTAAGGATTATAATTTTGTTGCAGAGTGTAGTATCAAGCCCTCGATAGTCAGACGACGATACGAATTTAAAAATTTTTAAGCTTTCGTGCTGTAGCTGTATTATCTGGTGGAATATATACATAAAAAATGCAACACTCTCCCTACTAAACATGCTATTCCCTACTACATGTAATACTAGCGACTCACCCTCGCTTAGGTCGGGGAGTCGAGTTCGTCCCTATTGATTCCCCATACAAACTTTCATCCCCATTTTCACCCCCTTAAGGAATGATTACCGAGATAAAAACTATCCTATGTCCTTCCCAGGTTCTCAAACTATTTTCTTACTAAACATCTAAAATCGGTTCAGAAGTTTCGGAGCCTATTCGTTACAAACAAACAAACAAACAAAAAATCAAACCTTTCCTCTTTATAAAATTAGTATAGATAATAATCATAACGAATAATATGATAGTTCGATACAAAACTCACTTACGACAGCAAACAGTGACGTTGAGCTTGCTGCAGACTGTGTGGCGCGTGCAGTTGTCCGCGGCCTCGAACTGCGCGCACAGCGCCGAGCACGCGAGCATCCGGAACGAGGACACGCTCATGTCCCTGTTAAATGTACAAGAACTTTGTTAAAACATGAATGTGCGTTTGTTGATGTCCGTTTATGATGTATGGTTCTATAGTATTTACCTGACTGTAATAAAAAATAGAACAGTTCATTGAAAAGTACGACCAAATAATTTAAATACATAATATGTGTTTGTCGCTTTCTATCATTATGATAAAAATAAAATGATATCAAAATCGGCTGAACGAAAACACTATTTATACGTAACGACGGCAAAAGGTAATAATAACATTTATCTTGCCTATTTTGGGTTACTCAGACATGAGTCCCGACTGATGCATCACATTAAACAAATCTAAAATCTCTTAAGGGGCCTAAGCGTGTAGGACCTGTGCTCCCACGCAAGCCATCAAAAGGATCGGGCTTCTTCGAGCCCGTGAAATTCTAAGAGATATTAATATAAAATAAAAATATTGTACCGTAAGTAGTTTATTAGTTTTACTGTTCTCACAAATTACTTTTACTGTGTTACAGAATAATGTTTTTTGACAAACACTGACTGCATTTTAAATTATTTCAATTTATGTATGTAGCTATGAATTAATTTACGTGTACTTATGAATATTATTACTGTGTTAGTGATTACCTGAAACTCCGGCTTATACAGTATATTGGCAAGGGAGAAAAAACCCAATCAAAGATATGCGCGTAGTATGGATTCCCGACTTCTGGTAATCGCAGAACTTCTGTTATTAAAAACGGCATGCAACCTAAAAATAAAAAAATACTGGTAACTACCTATATTAAAAAAAAAACTTTTTATTCTGACATTTTGAAATTATATGTTAATTATAATTATATATAAATTCTGAAATTGTACACGCACGAATCCATTTCAAATAAAATGAAATAAAAATAACAACAAAACATACAAATAGCTCAAAAAAAGTCACGAACGTTGTGTGTGGGTGTAAACACCCACTATATTAAATGACGAAACACACAGTATAATAAAAGAAAACATAGCTCACCTGAAAATATATTTATAAAACACATTTTCGAAAATCCCGTTGCTGCGGCTTCGAAATAAAACGAAGCTAAATAGTGAAGCGGAATCATCGCAAAGGCGAATATCACTAGCACCAGAAGCACTCTGCCTGTAATAAGAAGATATGTACGTAGCATATTTATTATTCATAGAAACTCGACGTAGTTAATTTCTTAAATGGTTATCTAAATAGTACACGTATTTTTTTTAAGTTTTAACAATTATTTTAAAAGTATTAGGTAGGTACGATCTCCAATCTAATCTTTTAAAAGCCTCGAAACTGACGGTGTAAGCGAAATTACGGAATCTGTGTTGAATTATCTTGCAAGATGTCACAAACACTCCATTGATGTACAATGTTTCTCCGCTAACTATTTAGACTTAAATGTCTTAAAAATATTAGCCAGTGACATGTTAGTAAGATTATTGATTGTTGGACAACTTTGTAAAGTACACTTTTTGAACCAAACAACACCCGGACAGCGTAGATCCTAAGGGCGTAGTATAATAAAAACATAATTTATCAAGTATCAATAATTTCTTTAATCTAATTACCTAATTCCTCAGGCGTCGCCAATGTACTCTCTTGGAAGAATGCAAGTGTAGCGATAATTGCGAAAAACACCATTAGCAGCCAAAGCCAGTCCCATACGAGTGCAGTGGTCCACAGCACGGCGGGGCGGACGCCCGACACCCGCTGCAGCAGCTTCGCGCCGCTTGTGCGCTCCTGGTACATACATATCGTGTTAATTAGCAAGTTAAAGTAAAACTATGAGATGAAAAGTCAGATCTTATTGTTTGACCCAATAGCCGCCACTAGAAGTCTTACATTCGTTAAACTTTCTCTTAAAATGCTCTTCAAAAGTATATTAAATATATGCAAGCTGTAGTAGAAATAAATATATAATAAAAAAATCTATTTCAAAGATATTTAATAAGTATTAATTCATAATTAAAATAAACCGTTGATTTTATTTAGTTTCTTCATCGAGTAAAATAAATATACGAATGAAAAGATAGATACCTTGATAACAAATAGTACTAGGAATGATGTCACAAACGCCATACAAAAACCAATGTTGAATGCGAACTGAAATCCCATACTGCTACCGCTAGCCATAACTTTTACCTAGAACAAACGATGACTTTTCTCATTAAATAATTACCAGCGAATAACTGAATGGATCAATGGGACTATTAAAGAAAATACCTATTGAAGAAAAAAGTAATTATTATTTATTGTAACAGACAATATGAACTAAGATAAATAAACTTAATAGTAACATATAATATAACTAGCATTGCCCGCGGCTCCGCCCGCGTTCAGATTACCAGAAACCAAATTCTTAGGTTTTACCTCTTTCCAGATAACTATCACCATACCAAATTTCATGAAAATCTCTCCAGTGGTTTTTTCGTGATGCGGTAACAGACAGACATACAAAAATTCTAAAAAGATTCGGCCTCTATATCGATAATAATGTCTATTTCAATAAGATTTTCCAAAAAAATATTTAATGTACAAATTCGGCTCAGTTACAATTTTATTATATGTATAGAAGAGATCAGATTTAAATGTCGCACGAATACAACGCGACCATTTCAAACCATTTAAGTTGCGTTTAACTCATCAATTGGAAGACATAGATGGCGCCGCACGTTCGATCGTGATTTGCATAAGTTATTATTTATTCGTAAGTATAAATTTTAACCTATTAGTCTTCTATTTCAGTTTAGTTGAGTAACGATAACATTTGGCGCCCAACGTGGGGAACTAAAAAGGGTCTCATAAGAAAGCTCAAGGTCAAACAAAGAGCAATAGAAAGTGCTATGAATTAGATAAGAGGAGATACAGAATGCGACTTTCAAAGTCGCCAGATCCATGCAGATGCGGATGGTAAAAGACCGGTCATCGTGGAAATCTTCGGAGAAGACTAAAAGTCCTTCAGATGATAATATAATATATCATTATTATTACAATAGTATCGATAGAAACTCACCAAGTTTTCTATAGAATACGGCAGTGGATGGTTGACGATCCGCAACGTGGCGCCCGGCGAGAGCGCGCCCAGTACGGCGTTGTTGGCGAGCGCCAGCGACATGGCCGAGTCGTGGTAGCCGTAGTTGCTGAACCACGCCGTGACGCGCTGCGGCGCGAACGTCGCTCCTACTAGATTCTCGTACTGAACTCGTGGTAGATCCGCTTCGCTCTGTCAAACGATTAAAAAAATATCTAACATTATATTATATGGATTAATATAAAATACAAAATTATATACTTATTATAACTTTTGTACGTAATATATGGATATATTTGAAAAATAAATATTGTTATGTACACACCAATTTCAAGTAAAACTTGGCTAAATCTAATCTCCCGATATCGGTGAGCAACATGTTGGGATCGGTAGATCTTTTAAAATAGTCTTTATACACCATCATGGCTTTTCTTTCCAGGCTATTTTCAGTTAAGTTTCCTTGCGATAGAAGAGTCTCAGTTTTTTTAAAACCGCTTTCCAGACTGAGTTCTAATGCTGGCAGCTGCGACATAAACTTCCAAGAGCGAGCTATACACACTGATATAGTTATGTTTATGATTGGAGTTATTATTTGTATTAAGGCTGCTAATTTGTTTCTCATGGTATTGTATGCAAGTTTTAAAAACATGGCTTTTATGTGGTTTCTGAGTAATTTGAAACCTCGTACTTTCTGTATTGGCTCATTGTCCACTGAAAAAAAACATAAGAAATTTATATTACTCTAGTATATTTTACTTAACTGAAATAAATAATTCTCAACGACCTGCGTGTTTAAATATATATTTTTATCAAAACAATACACAGATATCCATACTAATATTATAAATGTGAAAGTTTGTATGGATGTATGGATGTTTGTTACTTTTTCACACCGGAATGGCTGAAAGGATCCTGATGACATTCGGCACAGAGATAGATTATAGTCTGGAATAACACATAGGCAACTTTTTATCCCGGAACCCTAATTATTTTTCTACGATAAACTAGCTTAAGTTACTCCTTATAAAAACAGCTAACTACTTGTGAAAATGTAATCAAAATCTTTTCTGCTGCTTCGGAGATTAACTTGCACAAACAGACAACAATTTAAAAAAATGTGTTTTTCCTATACGTATATACTTTCATATGCATTTAGCAAAAATCTGTTATATTGAGATTACAAACAGACAGTTCAATTTTATTTATCTGTGTAGATTATGTTACATATATCATAAAACATACATACATATGTCATTATCGTGTCGATCTATGGGAAGTATGGTAGCGTCATTGTACGTATTAGTGTAGTTATTTTTCATAGACGACGTCACTCCATTGTCCTCTGCGCCTGCCCTAGTTAAGAAAATTATAAATTAAAATACTTAAATAAAATTAATTGTTTTTCTGTGCGCCATTAACTTTTAGTTCCATTTTAAAACATTACAGTACATTTTATTTGCATGTGTAATTATACTTAAAAAATGGCACCAATCAAATAAACAATTTGTTAATGCATAAAATAATATATTCTTCTTACTTATCACGTACATGTATCTTAATTTAATAAAGATAAACAGCTGGGAATGAAATAAAGTATACTGTATATTTAGACAATAATTAAGTCGGTCAACCTCTTGTTTTACTCATGTATACCTAATCTGTAATTTAAAATGTCTAATCCATTATAGTCTGCAGTCCCCAACGGACTTTTTTTAATGATTAATAACAAGGTAAAACTTCGTGAGTGAGTTCATTTTGGCGCGACGCCCAACTATTCTTTCTACGAGTATTCGATAGTGGTAGATTGGTTGGTGGTGGTAGATTAATTGTAGCTTCATATGGAACATATCAAAACGGTGATAGTCTAAAATTTATTACTAACAGGTTGTTTTACGATTTAAGATAATCTTGAGATATAATCATCATCTTGAGATAAAATAATCTTGAGATAATCCAACATTAAGTAATAAAAAAATTTGGCGTCTCGATAAAATTAAGGTAATCACAAAGTTTTAGCTTATTATTAATCATGAAAAAAGTCCGTTGGGGACTGTTGGTAGACCATTACCTTCGTTACGTATTATGTAAGCCCAACAAAAAAAAGACATTCCATTCGATTGATTAGTATGAAATAGTATTAAAGAAAAATGTTTAAAACCTTACTTCATGAAAACCTCCTCTAGACTCGTCACAGATAAACCGTAACTTGAAACCTTTAAATTATCCTTTTGTTCCTCGAATATCTTGAGCATTTCTGGGAATTTACTGACATGTTCATTTGGCAAGATATATGACAACTCCGATCCTGTGTAAGTTGTAAATTGTATTAATATAACTACGATTGTATTTTAAAAAACAAAAGGGAGAATAATTTAAAATCTTATTATTATAAGAAAAAATACTTTTTGACGTCTTTAGAGCCGTTGGGATGGAAAGCAATTGGCTCGAAACACAATTTTGATCAGAACGCTTTATTACCTCAATAAAGCAATATATGTATGAACTTGCTCTCTCCTGCACCATGTTTTGAATTCATTCATTTGGTACGTTCACTCAGTAATAGGCAGTAATTGTTAAAGGATATATTAATAAAGAATAAATAATAATTAATTTAAAATTTGTATCTTTCTGTTACGTCATCAATGCGTGTTTTATTATTCTCACTTACGCTCTGACTCACGCTTCCTTCGCTCGGGTTCTTCCCTTGGTTAAGTTTTAACGAATAGTATAGATTTCTCAGAAACCAGCTATCATCATACCAAATTTCATCAAAATCTGCCCAGTCGTTTTTTCGTGATGCGTTCCCAAAAAGACAGGCAGACAAAAATTTTATAATAATAATATATCGATCGTATCGATAATAATGACTATTTTAATAAGATTTTCCAAAAAATATGTAATGCATAGATTCGACTCGGTTAGAATTTTATTATATGTATATTGTATACATAATATACGCTCTATCTCATTCTATTTGAATAATGGTTGCTAACTAAGACGAAAAACGAAATAGCATACCAATATTAGTGTTCTCTTTAACATCTGGCATGTAACCTCTAAAGAATCTGGTGACTTCTTCCACATTGCAATTTTCACATTTAACGATGGTCAGTTTGTAACCGATTCCATAGTGCTTCTTTAAAAAGTATGGGGTTCCAACGCACTGCAGTCGACCTCCAGACATTATTGCTATTCGATCGCCCAGTACGTCCGCTTCATCCATAAAGTGGGTTGTTAGAATCATAGTTCGACCTGAATCGATAGACAATTTTTTTTGGGTTCAAGGCATATTTACAAGTGTTCAACATGGAATTAGATTCATTTATTCAAACAAGGGTAAGCTCCATCTGCAGTATTGGATTCTAACTAAGAATATTTTGTACCTTTTTTCTCCCTTTGCAATAAATCCCATAAGGATCTACGGGCGGCGGGATCTAGTCCTGAAGTAGGCTCATCCAATAGTACTACGTTAGAGGAGCCGCACATAGCCGCCCCCACCGACAGCCGCCGCTTCTGACCACCCGACAGGTGTTTCGATATAACATCCTTCTACAAAGATATAATCAAATTATTATTTTATGTAAGCATGTATTAACATTTTATTTAAGTCTCTTTTTCTATATTTAATATTATTATTATAGTGGATTCATGTTAGAACCTCGGAAAAAATCACATAACATATATTATGTAAGGTACGTGTAAGCATGTTCTGATCTGGTTACATTTTAATATGTTGTTGTCCGCCTTTATAGGTTTCTTTATGTTACAAGAAATATGATAGATTCGTAGGTAAAACACTATGTATATTGTATGATAATGAGGATGTTCTCCTGACCGATTCCGGCCACGGCCGCGGCGGCCAATCTCATTGAGACTAGCCAACTGCGCGGGAGATATTATAGTGCAGCGCGTGTGAGCGAGAGCGCAGACACGACGCGCACTCTCTGTTCCCGTCACTCTCATACTCCGGCGGGGCGACGCGAGACCGAGCGGCGAGTGTCGGCGCAGGACCGACGCGACTTCCCAACTCCAGGCTGTTACTGAGGCTAACTATACAGAACGACTCCATAACTAAACTTGGCCCGACCCGGGACTCGAACCCAGGACCTCCGGTGTGCAGCCGTACATGCTAGCCACCACCACTGAGGCAGTCAAGTATATTATATATGTATATATTTGTAGTGAATTTTATTCAACTAGAAATTAAGGTGTAGGTTTACATCACATAAGCTGTTTCAAGTAATCATGGCTACGAGCGCAAAATACTCTTAATTTTAAAAGTTAAAAATTGAATATATATTTACTTAATATTTTGTTAGATTTACATGAATATTTGAAATATACAATAAAACGAAAAATTTTAGAAATTCGAAGAAATTGTTTTATTTAAATAATTGTATTGATTACATTATGCAATCATGTACGAGTGTGGCTATTAAATAACGAGACACTGCTTCAGAAGAATTATGCATACACCAAACGTTAGTGACTGCCGCTTTGCTGACAGCTTTATTAATGTGATATTGTTTAAATTATTACTTTTCACAGCGCATACAACGATGAAGTTAAAATTACATTGTAACCGGAATAGCTTTTTTCATTATAATTAATTTCCATTTAATATATAATCAGGGCGTTATAAAATACACTATAAATTATAAGCAGTCTATAAATAATTACAAAATTGTCCGTGGTTTTTAGAGATAAAATACTTTATGGTTTCAACCACCTTACAGGTGGTAAATATTATAATGCAATGTGTTGGGTTCTGTTGACTCTACACTTACACACCTGCTATAGCAATAATTTTATTGTTAAGTTATAATGCTTAAATATTGGTATATGCTTAAAATTACGTCGGTATTTTTTATTATTTATTACTTAGTAGTTATTAATTCTTGAAACGTATGATTTTATATACATATTGTATAAAAACATTTAACGCGACATATTCTCTGTGCGTCAGTTAAATGTCGGAAATAGAAAGGCAATAAATATTATCATTTCATACCTTTTCCTGTAGTTCCAACAACTTGACAAAGTGGTCGACCTCTTCGGATATTTTTGATTTATCCACTCCTTTTAATCTTGAATAGAATATAATATGTTCGGCCACAGTGAGGTCAGGGAACAAGACATTGTGTTGCGGACATATTCCAATAGATTTACGAGCTTGTTTCGTTTCAGTTACAATATCGTACCCGTTTATCGTCGCCGAACCAGACGTCGGTGGCACCATACCTTTGCAATGGACAAAATATTCTTTAAATATAGAAATTATAATATTTATTATTACAGGATTACTAATTACATATGATGTTAATAAAAAAACCATAGCTGTGGGACGATAAATCGGCACGATTGATATAGATTAAGCGCAGGACCAACGAATTTTTGATAGAATAATCCAATACTTAGTCCGAAGCTGGACTCGAATCCAGAATAAAAACACAATCTTCTACAGAGGAGACGATGGGAAACGACTTTGGGGTTGACGAGTAACTTATAGCACTACAGGGCGCTTTAACTTCGAAAACGTTCAATAAGATTTTTTTTTATCTTTTAACACCCCTTGCAATTTCCATTAAAATCAAAGTCGTAAGAGCTTGTTACTTCTTCACACTGTAACAGATGTCTTCAAAGTTTTGAGAAATTCAAAATGAATATAGGTTATTTCTGTGTTAATTAACAATTTAACGAAACTAACAAATTAAAAAGAAAACCACAAGTCATATTCGCATAATCTATACAGCACTTGGGCCACCGAGCTTCGCTCGGTGTTTTTGGTTAAAAAGTACAATTTTCTTTAAAAAAAAAAACCAAAAAACTTGAATAACTTCAAAAAAAAAACCGCATGAAAATCCGAAAACACGCGTTTTTCCGGACATAAGACTAATCTAGATCGATTTATCGCCCCCGAAACCCCTTGTATTTATACTAAAATTCATGAAAATCGTTGGAGCCGTTTCCGAGATTCAGATTATATATATATAGAGCAATTTTTGTATATATATATAGAAAATGTTATTGAAATAAACTTTATTATCGATACAGAGGCTGAAGCTATATATGTTTTTAGAATTTTTGTCTGTCTGCCTATCTGTCTGTTACAGCATCACTGAAAAACCACTGGAGGGATATTGATGAAATTTGGTATGGTGATAGCTGGTTATCCGGGTCAACATATAGAATGCTTTTTACCGCGGGATAATGTCTCATTTCTGAGAAAAAATACAAAAACTGCAATGTAAGAGTAAGTTAATATGTAAAACCTAAGAATTTGGTTTTCGGTCATCTGAACGCGGGCGGAGCCGCGGGCAATGCTAGTTCGTCATAAAAACAGTCGATGTGGAATGTATAAGGTATTTTGATTTATTTAGAGTAACATTATCTTTGCATATAAATGCAATTGGTATGTAGTACTTTAATTATAAATAATTAGAAGGCAAAGGTCGCTACTCGCCAGTGCATTTTCTGAATCGAGAGTATCTGTATCGAGCAAAGATATCTTGTAATACGGATTCTAACGAATGAAACCATATATTGGTAGTATGTAAATAAGCTGCCTACTACTACATACCGCTAATTTCCCTTAGAATGGTTTGTTAAATTAGACGACATAATAATATTTTATTGAGATTTGTATGCCACTTATTCCTGAGGTATACGTTTCTTTTATAAAATTTCTATTTCATAGAAATGCATATAAACTTATAGATACACATATAAATCTTACCTGTTAACATCGATATAGTAGTAGTTTTACCAGCACCGTTATGACCTAGCAATACTGTTATTTCATTTTCATACATTCTAAGGTTTAAATTATCTACAGCTTTCTTGCGTCCTTTGTATACTTTTGTGAGATTCTGAAAAGTGATTAAATGTAAATTCTGTAGGCATAAGAGGGTCATACAACTTTAATTTACACAATATAGGTGTTTTACACAATGCGTCATAAAGATGGACTTTATACAGGAAAAAATAGAACGTACATACATACATATGTAATAGTATTTCTTTATACATTGTTTTAAGCGCATGACGTGATATGGATAAACAACACAAAATAGATACAAGGTTCAATAGAGTTAAATAATTTACATAAAAGTAATAATAATTTACATAAATAAAAAACCCGACTGCAAAAGCAAATTAAAAAGATGAGAAAAAATAGCAAAGAAACTATTATTATGCAATCAGACACACGCAGCTGTTATAAAACATGTATACATTATAATACAAGTATGTATGTCTTCGACTGCAAAATGCACTCATAACCACAATAATTAACCGCCCAGTTACACCTTTTGTCACCCTCTTCTTTTGTATTAAGTAGAACTTGTCGCAGTCTTTGTTTTGCATTGAGTGTTTACGCAATTGTGTCATTTATTTTTAGGAAAAAAAATATATTAAGACTCGAGATTATTTTCAAATTTGTATCGCAGTAGTTTTTGTAAGAATTAGCCTTTGTTTGACCTTTTACCGATACATTACCGACATAACATATAAATGTTCATTTTTGACCTAGTGTTTAAAAGTTTTTTAATTTGTGCCTTAAAGATTTTTCTTAGTATTTGAAACCATAAAAATACCGCTAGATACGATTGGTGTAGCTAGGACTTGCGCTTTAGCTGATGCTGGGAACAGTCAATGTCGCATCGCTCGAATGTTCGGTGTACCTCGAACCACGGTACTGGATGCCATTAGACGGTATCAGGGGATTGGCTCATACACCCGGAAGCCAGGTCAAGGCAGCCATCGTTGCACTTCCACACGAGACGACCGATTTAATGTCAGCAACGTGTTGAGAAGTCGCTTTTGCACTGATTTTGCTACTGAAGTTTGTACGCGTCTCAATGAGGTCAGAAATATTAGTGCAAGTGAACGTACGATTAGAAGAAGACTGGAAGAAGGAGGTATAAGGGCTTTTCGTCCAGCTCGTACCCCACCATTTCTCCCACAGTATCGTAGAGCTAGACTTGGTTTCGCGCGAGAATATTGTGATTGGACTATGTGGCAGTGGCAGAACGTACCGTCTTCAGCTGAGAGCAGAATAGCCTTAAAGGATCCAGATTGGCATCTACATGTCTACAGATGTAAAAAATGAGAGGTTTGCTCCTTACGCTATAGCCGAAACAGTGGGTTATCAGGGCGGATCAATAATGATTCGGGAAAGTATCTCTTATGAGGCCTGTACCGATCTTGTCGGCTTTGATAGGGACAGTATGAACGCTCAGAGGTACGTGGAAAAAGGTCTAATAGACTATGTCGTAACGTTTGCTCAATTTATTAGAGAAAATTTTAGGCTTATGATAATGCACGTTGCCATGTCGCTAGATCTAACACACAATACCCCATGATTTGTTATGGTAAAATCCATTGACATTACATTACTAAATAAATTATGTTCACATATTATTTACTAACTTCCGACCAGACTCAACACGATAGTACTACTCACCTCTATATTAATCCCCATGGGCACTCCTTTCGGCTCTTCGTCATGAACCACTTTCAAAAGAGCATTTTTGTATTCTTGATCGACGGCGTGTTTATTAGTTAAAGCTGAAATACGTTACAACATTTTATATGAAACTACAAATAGGGAAAAGAAAATAGTTGGTTCAAAAATAAATTCGGTCAAACGGAAAGACAAATTGTACTTAATTAAATAAAAGCTGTAGAAAATAAACTGTACGATATGAATGTAATAATACTCGTATACTTATCATTAAATAATTATTAAAATCATGTATCAGTATTTTATAATTTAACGGATAAATAAATAAATTAATAAATATGTTAGGACATTAACACACAGCACCATGTTCCATGGTAAGCTACGAGGCTTATGTTATGGATACCAAATAGTTTATATACTACACATACACATATAACTTTAAATACATACATATTATAAATATAAACACCCATGACAGAAGTACAAACATTACTGCTTATCACACGAATAAATGAATGAAGCCCAAAGCGGGACTCGAACCCACGATCGCTGGCTTAGCAAGTATGGCCACTACAAATTGAGCCAAGTGTTTCAATTAAATACCCCGTTTTATGATCAGCACGTAATATGTAGGTGAAAAAAACACAGACTTATATTTATATCAAGAAACCTTGAACCTCAATACAAGGAAAGACTTGTGAATAAAGAGACAAATCGATATATTATAGCTATTATTAACGTTTATGTAGTTTAAGCTTTAATTTGTCGCGTTCCTTCGAATATTCTGACACTACAATCATAGATTAATGTGATAACATATCATTTAAATACTTTACCAATATACATAGTTGTAGAATTATTACTTACGTATAACATATTTGGGTTTGAGCGGGTGGTGATTTTTAAGAACATGAAACTATTATAAGTACTAGGAATATTAGCTTAAAATATTTATATTAATTAATGCATCATCTGGTTTTGAGTGTTGTAAAACAAAACCTGTTCCATGATGGTTCGAAAAAATAAACCTCACCTGCTACCTTAGTTTTATTTGGACACCAAAAACTTTTCGTAAAAGGAAAGTACCAAGGCAGTGGTACTCCATACAATCCTGGACGTATTTTCTCCACATACATAGCAACTAACATGTACAATATAGAGTCTAATATTAACATTAAAGCCACATGACCAGGCTGGAACTGATCGTGGTAGGATATTGGTGTGAAAAACTCGTCCCATTGTAAGCCTGAAACGATGAAATATTATTTTATATATATATTTTATACCAAAAATAATAAATGTTCGGTTAAATGAATAGCACAAGTGTTTTAATGTTACTGTTGTTATTTTTGCTTAGTTTTAGTAATTTTCGTAGTTTTTTTCGTAGTTTTAGTTTAGTTTTAGTAGTTAGTAATTTTCACGAAACTACGAGTATATAACATAATCCTACATTTTATATGATCCTATATTTTATCTACTCTATAACATTACTTGATTGATGAAATATACACGGTAAGAATCATCTTGGTAGTGCGAGTATCGTATGGTATATAAAAAACTATAATCAAAATGCAGATTACAAATTTGGGAGTTTTTTAAGCGTATCGAGTCATGTAACAAAAAATGATATTAGGCGACCACAAAAATATTTCCCACTAAAATGTATGTCTATAAATATATATATATATATATATATATATATATATATATATATATGTCTATAAATAATTTGGATTAATAAATTGTTAAATAAAATTAAATTAAAAAAATTAAAAACCCGATTGCGTACAAAACGAACTTAAAAAAATAAAAACCTGTTGGTATGGTACACGTATTGGTACACGCCACATTGTACTCTTTCTTTTATTATGTAAGTAGGTATATTGATTTTTACTATATCAAGTAAGGTTATGAAACGAGGTAAGTGTACTTAAATAATAATACATTCATTCAATAAAATTCTAAAACAATGAAATACTAGTCTACATAGTTTTACGCGGTTTTAATATTTTGCTATGGATTTTGCAGCCCTTCAGCTTATTGGGTTAATACTCTATAATAAAATTTTTATAATAACAATTGGCAAATGATATCGCGAATTTGCCAAGTACTACGCAAACGAACGATTTGGAGAAGTAAGAAAAACATAATACATATTTTAGGATTCTTTCGGATTTTATTGAAATATAACTTATACTACATTTATCTAAGTTTTTTTAAATATTATAAAGTCTAAATATAGAGAATATTTTAAGGACTACTAAAAAAGTTAAATGAATAATATGTAAAACTGTTTTTTTAGGATATGAGTTTTTTTCTGAATCAGTAGATAAAAAACCTCCACGTGGACGAACTACGCTGCTTAACAATAATGTACGGTGTGGTTGCTTCCTGCCGTGTTGCTGTAATTTTATTAACCGACTTCCAAAAAGGAGGAGGTTCTATGTTCGTCTGTATGCATTTTTTTGTATATGTTCATCGATATTTTCGGCATTTGTTAACCGATTTTAAAAAATCTTTTTTAGTTCGACAAGATATACTTCCGAGGTCCCATTATCATCAAGTCAGGATTTGATGATGGAATCTCAAGGAAATCTAGGAAAAACTTACTAACAATGTAATAAAATCTTAGAAGTCAATTTTGACCCAATTCCCGATTTCCGTTTGAGCTGAAATTTTGCATACTTATGTAAGTTTAGTAACAATGCAATAATCTGGTACTATGGAGCTGATCTGATGATAGAGTCAGGAGGTGGATAGTGGAATTTAACTATAGTATTTAACTATAATATAGCCTGTTCTAAATTCCATCATGACATGGCTGATGCACCCAGGGTTGACTTCCGGTGAGGGAACTCCTCAACAGTGAATAGGACAGACATGAAATTTTCTTGTACATGCATTTATATTAAAATACTTTCTTCTTTGCTACTACTATGTCTACACTTCTACTCTGTCATATTAGTAGTATAGTATTAGTAGATAGATTGGTAGTTTTCATTTACTATAGATACCTAATCAAATATTTTCGAGGTCGGTGTCAGACGATACAAATCAAAGCACACCGACTTTGAAAATATTTGATTAGGTATCTATAGTAAATGAAAACTACCAATCAGTTATTTTTTAATTTTTAGTGGTTTTTTTCAGTTTTTATTACATATTCTGTTATTTTTTTTAAATAAATTTCTTAATACCCGATACAGTTATTTTTTTGTTTTTGAGTTCTTTTAGGGTTCCGTTCCTAAAGGGACTTATTATACGACTAGCAATCATTCCGTCCTACTTTTGAATAACAATTATAATAATAAAGTGATATAAATCCAAATTAATATTATAAATGCGAAAGCAATTCTGTCTGCATTCTGTCTGTATTTGCCTCATACGTTTTCACGCCAAAACCGAAACATAGCCGAACGTATTACAAGCTTCTGCGTTATCAACTTTCAAAAATTTAAGTATATCGTAATTATTGTACTTCTAGAATCAAACTATAAATAATTACACAGGTACTAAAATTACAAAAAACATATGTAGGTGATCAATAGCTTTACGAAAATAATAAGATTTGGCACAAACAAAATACCTTTTATATTATAAATTTTGAAAATAATACATCTGTCGCGTATCAACAACTTTTATAAGATTGCTAAATAAGACATAACGTACGTATTGAATGAACGTGAGTGTAGTGACGTCACAAAACTGCTAAAAAAGTAAGAACGTTTTAAGCTTATAATAACCTTGTATAAGAAAAACGACAGAAGCTTTATGTAAGGTTTTATTAATAGTCTACACTGATCGAAAATCGGAGTGAGAATGAATATCATATTCACATATCTGCTGCCATTATCGAGTCGGTTCTATCGTAATTACCCTCACTCCGTCACAAAAACAATATAGTGTCCATATTGATTATCTCTTAAAAGTAAAGTCAATAAAGCAACTTATATTAACTGAAATGTTCATACTTAGCATAAATAATTATATGAATATTAATAATTAACAATACTTAATAATCTAACAATAATTAATTATCTAACATTCATATCTGCTGCCATCATCGAGTCGGTTCTATCGTAATTACCCTCACCTTGTCACAAAAACAATATATCGTCCATATTGATTATCCATTAAAAGTAAAGTCAATACAACAACTCATATTAACTGATATGTTCATACTTAGCATAAATAATTATATGAATATTAATAAATAACAATACGTAATAATCTAACAATAATTAATTATCTAACATTCGGCCATCCTGGCAAACAAGTTTGTCCTCAAACTAATGAATCTCAGTTCTCATCATCTAGTTGACACCTCGCCCCTCGTCACCCTGATCGTGTGATACTTCCCAACTCAAAATGGCCGTGTTGGCATCTACACCCCTCATTACTAACTGTCATCAAGTGAAGACCAACCTCCGTTCCCTTAGTTGACATCTACCACCCTTAATACATCATAAGGTCTACACTAGCCTTCTCAACCCAGACACAGAAATTGGCACTTCACAACTAATCACTAGTAGTAATCGTGCGAGTTTACCAACGCCACTGAATGAGTTGACACATCACCCCTCACCAAGACAGTGACCGTGCGAGACTTCTCAACACACAATTTATCTATTCATCTCCTTTTTCATATCACTCTTTTCAACTCAACTTATCATCAACATCAACATCAACTTCTCAATTTTAGTAATTTATAACATAACATAACTTAAATTTTAACAATATATCTCAAGTACAATCTTTCATTAATTTAACAAAATCCGATTATATTCTTGATAATATATAATTTTAACATTGAACTATATTTAAAATAATATTTACTTCTCAGGCACATTATATTAATCTTTTTTTTTTTTTTTTTATTACAGAATATAAATAATCAATACAGAAAACAGAACACTACTAAGAATATTATATCTCTTATAATATTTAATATAATAACCTACTAATTTAGGAGCTGAGTTCACCGTCAGAGTTATCACTTTCATTAGTTATAGATATCCAAGGTTGTATGCGATCTGCTGACCAAACATTACTATACCTACCTCTAGATATAGTGGATCCTGGAATACTAGAAACCTCGTATCGATCTTGCCCCAAAACTTTCGTTATTCTAAACGGACCTTGATATTTTGGTAGCAATTTTTTACTTTTGCCATCATTAGATGGAATATTTTTTAATATTTTGACTAGATCACCTACAACGTAAAGTCTTGCTTTTTTTCTTTGTTTATTGAATCTTAATTGCTGTTTCTCTTGATCTTTTTCTATGTGATCATTTATTTCCTGTCTTATTTCGTCCAATCCTTTGTCATTTTGCCTTGTATCAGTCAGTGCATTATCTAAACTACCTTCTCCCTGTCCTAGCAAGCGCTTACCAAATAATGCCTCTCCGGGCGTTTTTCCGGTACCTTTATTTAGAGTATTATTGATTCCCCATTGAATTTTACATAGCTCTTGGTCCCACTTATTTTCACCTAACTGGTCGTTATAAGTTCTAAGTGAATCTAAAATTGTTCTATTATAGCGCTCCACTTGGCCATTCGCCCGTGGAGCTGAAACCGCATTTAAAACGTGTCGTATTTCGTATTCCTTACAGAACCGACTAAACACTGAAGATGTAAAACAAGAACCACGATCCGATATTATCCTAGCAGGATGTCCAAACAAACTAAATACTTCCTTTAATGCTCTAACAGTCGGTTCAGCTTTGGTATTTCGGAGAGGTTTAAGCACGCAATATTTTGTATATCCATCAACAATAACTAATAAATATTGGTTACCCTTTACACTTCTTACAAATGGACCTAAATGATCTACATGGACCGTATGATATGGTATATCTATTTTAGGTATACTATGAAGAAAGCCTTCTTTTGGACCTGCCGGTTCTTTACTAAACGCACAATGTAAACATGATTTTACGTACTTTGAGATAAACTTCCTCATTTTTGGAAACCAAAAATCTTTTTTAATCTTTTCAAGGGTCTTCTCTACAGAGAAATGGCCTATGTCATCATGATTTCGTTGGCATATTTGCCATCTGGCATCTTTTGGAACTACCCATTTCAAATCGTCCCCTACCTTACGATATACTCTATTATTTTTAATAATGAAATTTTGTTTAATATCTAGTAACTCATTATATCTAGAGTCTTCCAATACAGAGCGAATGTGTTGTATTTTAGGATCAGATAATTGAACACTAAGAAGCCAATCTTCTTGAGATAT